TTTTTTATGATTTTTGGTAAAGTTTATTGAATAATTGAAGTGATATTTGGGATTTTTATTGTATTTATAGGTGAGTTTGGGGGAGTGGGGCAAAAGGGATTCTTTGAATTTTTTTTTCAAGACATTTTCGAGAGGAATTCCTCGACATAAATTTTCCATGTCTTTTTTTCATCATTTTTTGGTGTTCTCTCATTGAAAATAGTGAGAGGGAAATTTATTCTGATTATTCTGAATTTGGGAATACGTTTACCAGAATTTTTTTATGATTTTTAGTCAAGTTTATTGAATAATTGAAGGAATATCTGGATTTTTCATTGTTTTTTGCAGGGAATTCTAAGAGAACTCTCATGTGATTCTCATAGAATTCTATCGAGAATTTAATAATATTGCACAAATTTACCCGAATGTTCCCCATGAATTGGTCTTAATTTTAAGGGAATAATTAAATTGAAATTGCCGTTTTCCGTGACTTTTTTACCGTTTTGAATATTATTGGTTTAAAAATATAACAAATTTTAATTCAAGAGCTGAAGGGGACTTACAAATTACTTGAAATGAGTATTTTTTAAAGAATTCCAATAGAACTCCAATTTTATTCTGCTAGAATTTCCATAGAAATTCAATAGAATTCAGTTGATTGAAAATTCAAGAGTATTTTCCCTGAATTTTCCTCATTTATATTAATTTTCATGGAATAATTAAACTGAATTCTACAATTCAACAGTTCTTGAATCACAATTTTTCTCACTTGAAATGAGTATTTTTTACTGAATTCTAATAGAACTCATTTATAATTCTCATAGAATTCCAATATGAATTCAAAAGAATCCAATCATTTTAAAATTCAAGAATATTCACCTGAATTTTCCCCATTTGTATCAACTTTCATGGAGTAATTGAACTGAAACTTCAGTTTCAATGAGAAAATTGCCCAAAATACCAATTATTTCCTTGCAGTTGGAGCAATATGCTTTTTCCTCCACGGAGTTGGCTATTTCTCCAACAACGTAATCGGAATAATCTACGCGAAGAAAGACTCCAACGACATAAAGATAGCCTACATGAGTTACTTCGGCAAACGAGTGGACATTGACACGACCTACGACGACATCAGCTGTCCCGAGCCCAAAACAATGTTCCGTAATCCCCTATTCAGTCCGTTGGTAGTTGAGTCCCAGAAGAAGAAGCTGAAACTCTTCGTCCAGGGTAAAATCATCGACAGCGACAAATTTTACAAACTGTTGGGGGTCGCATTCTGATCCAGTGTAATTAGTCATTAAGAGAATAAAAGATTAAATTGTTAAGAAGATTCGATTTATTTACAGTTCATAATATTTCCAGGATTTATTAATTAGACCACCTGAAGTGGGCGTAGGCACGATTTGCCTCGCACATTTTGTGGAGGTCCTGTTTCTTTTTTACGACACGTCCCTAGAGAAAAATCAATTGCCAATTAATTCTGACTCTTAGAAAATTTCACTAAGATTTTATTAAGACCCATTTCTATCTTAATTCTTTAAAAAGTCATTAGTTATCATAAAAAATAGCTTTTATATTATTCAAACAAATAAGTAAATGATTGTAATCATGATAATGAAAGATATTTCTTATTTTCTTTAAAAAATCGTGAACTAGAAATTTTTATTCATTCAAACACAATAAGAGTGAATATTAAATCCCTTTTTAATCAAGGAATTGTTATTACCTGATTGTCGGCTGCATCAATGAGCTCTTTAGCCAATTGCGTTGAGAAAGGAATACGACCGTTTTTATCCTGAGCTGCTTGGATTATCCAATTCATCGATAGAAACCTTTGACGTCGTTCTAAAACTGGTATGGGTACCTAAAAAGTGATCAGAGTCATTCATATTTCTTAAATATTGGATAACACGTAATGTTAACTAAAACAAAGAATCTCAAGATTTTCCTCGGTATTTTTCTTTGGCTTGTGTAGATGTAAAACTGTAGCAGTAGAATACAGTTTTTTTAAAACAATAATAATTATTATTGTAGCAGTAACAATAATAATAATTATTAATGTAGCAATAATTCTGCGATAGAATAGAATGGAAATAAAGTACTCTATTCTATTCTATCGCAGAAATGTCTGAATAATTCTGCACTTTCTCATAACAAAAAATTTCAATATTTGCTTTTTTTATTTTTTCAATGGCTCAATACGAATCCCAAGGACTCACTCGATAGTTCGATCCTCCTTTCTTCATCGTCATGAGCTCCATAACCGGTTTGCAATTTATGACAGCCGCATGCAGAACTTCCTTCGGACTCAGAATAATATTAGCTCGCTCTTCAGGTCTGGCTTTGTGGTACCTCTCCAGCTGTGATCGTTTTACCTTCTCTAAGGCCTCTTCCACGAGGCTCCTCGCGAGCTCTTTCTTCCCCTTTCGCAGTACGTAATTGATGAACTTGCTGGTGAAGAGAAGAAATGAGGATTTTGTATTCACCTCTGGGCCAAAGTGGAATGTTTTTTTTTTCTTACTCAACAACGGAATCGAAGAACTCTGAAGACGTTTCCGCCTTCATCGCCGGTAGAATCGGCACGTGAGCGATTTTCGCGAGCTCTCCGCTCTCCTCCAGACGCGCCTGCTCATCTTTTCTGAATGTCGGTTTGATGTGATAGGGGTTGAACACACTGTACGTCCTGATCGCTCCAATCCCCAACACTCTGATAACCGAATATTCGTTAATGTCCCATATCTGCTAGGGAAACGAGGGAATTTGGACGAGTCAGGGCTCACTTCAAAGCTCCAAAAGAGCCCTTCAAAATAAAGAAAAAATCGATAAAATCGACTCTGCGAATCTGGAGATATCGACAATTAAAGACAATGCGTTTTATCTTCATCTCGATGTGACTCGAAATTCAGTTTTTGGGAAATATCTCGATATCCGGAAGAGATATCCAAATTCCCGTTATAACCTTTTCTGTAGATCTCGCTCTCCCCCACAAAAAAGATTCTTACAAAAATTTCGCTATCTCCCCCGGCTCCCGAGATATTTCCAAAAAACTAAAATGGAAATTGATCCTCTCCAGAAAGCAAAAAACTCTTCTTCAATCGTCAATAACTCACGATCGGCAGAGTGAAAATGGCCAATTTTTTTTTCAATCTCCAGGCGCTTCCCCAATCTTCAAAATGAAATTTGACTCATCCAAATCGCGCCGTTCGACCCCGCGCTATCTAACAATAAAGCCCCAAACCCCGGAATCCGCGAAAATCCCCTGTTGAGGTTATGTCCCCTCAGCCCTTCCAACCCCCAAATCCCCCTGTTCTTTCAAAATACCCCTCCCACGCACCCCCAGAACCCCCCAAGACCCCAAACAACAACAAAAAACCATAAATACCTGTTCGACACCCGTTTAACGAGCGATTGAATCCTGCCGACGGAGCCCATGATTCCAACCTCAAAAACCCTCGAAAAATCCCAAAACTTCTCCCTCTCCTCTCCCTCCACTGACAGAAAAATCACCGATGCACCCAGTCCCTCTCTCGCCCCAATAACACCTCAATCACCTTCAATTTCCTTTAAAATCCTGACCACTCGGAGTCTCCCAATAATCGAATTACTCCCTCACTTCGTTTTCTCCCTCGGCCAATGGCATTCGTCGCCTTCCCCCGGCGCTATTCCCGTCATTTGCGTTCACCCCCCGTCTTCGCCCCCCACAGACCCTAACCCCACCCCCTCACACCCCTGAAATTCCAGTTGATTCCACAGTGGGAAACCGTAAGGGCAGCACTTGTCGCTCGAAAAATCGATTAAACGCAGGTGCTGGTGTTGGAAAAACGGTTTTTCCGTCTAGTTCACGTTGTTCCTCAGTTGTTCCATGATCACCAGAGTAATCATAAGCCCCAGGAGTAGTGACAAGTGCCGATAATCATCGCTGAAAGGCTCCAGAGGAGGTTTCGACAGTGGCTTTTACTTCTGTTGAATATCGAGAGCGTGATATTGAGAAAAAAGTGTTTTTTTAATGTAATTAGTTGGTGAAAACTCTTGTGATTTAATCTTTCATGTGTCTGGGGATATAGCATCGGCTTTATGACATCCGGAAAGGAAACTATGGGGTAAGTCGGGGCTGTTCGTCCCCTGTGGTAGATTTTTGGGGCTTTTTGGAGTGAATTTAATGTGTCGGGGGTTTATTGTCTTAATTGGGGGGTCTGGGGGTGATTGACACAGTTTGAGCTGCTCCACACGGTCATTAAGTCGTTGGTGTCCCTCAGGACTCGATCACGACAGACTGGGTGATTTATTTGCTGGGGTAATTGGAGCAGAAGATTTTAGTCTGTAATTATTTCAGTCGGGTATTGATTGTCGGTTGGGGGGACAGGGGTTTGCAGATTTTATCTGTGGGATTTTTTTTGAGGGACGGGGGACCTTCGGGGGATACGGGATCTCGCAATTGATGCATTTATTGTTCTTGATTGACTACAGTGAACAGCCAATTTTCACATGCAAAGCGCATGTGTTTCACATCGACCCCAAGACCAAACGGTCGTGGGTATCAGCATCAACTGCTGCTGTTTCTGTATCGTTTTTCTATGACTCGACGAGGAGCTTGTACAGGATTATTTCGGTGGAGGGAACCAAGGTGAGTTTTCAGGGGTGAAGGTGACACTAGAGGGTGAAGGGTTAAGGATATTCAAGGATTTTGGCTGCTTGGCGATTTTTTTTCGCCTGTGAAATGATTTCCTGGTTTTGGGGTTCGGTATCGGAGAGTCACGGGGGAAGAATTTAATAGAATTCGCTGGACAATTCTGTTGAAATGTTCCATGGAAAATATTCTGTGGAGAAAGTCAAAAGAATTCATTTTGTCGGCCAAATTTTCAGAGTTTTTTGCTTGATTTTTTGGGTGAGAAGAGAAAAGTAGAAGGAACAAAATTAGGAAATTCGAGATGAGGAAATTCTATAGAAAATATTGAGTGGAACGGAAAAATCGAATTCTATTGACTTTTTCTACTGAAATTTCAATAAAATCGGCCAGAAATTAACAGGAAGTTTAATCGAAATCGAAGAGAATTTTTTAACGAATTCGCTAAGTTTTTCTATTAAGTTTTTTCGTGGGTGTTTCATTTGAGCCCCATTCGATTTTATTATTTAAACTTTGCAAGTCTGAATTTGAATCTCGATATTGAATCGTTAGATAACATTTTTGAAGTCTGACAAAAATTAGAAAGTTCACGTTTGAAGCAAGACTGATGAAATAATTTAAAAAGTGCAATTTTCGAGGATTACGAGCATTTTCTATAAATAATTTATAAACAATTTTGCTCCATAAAAATAATTTATTCAAATTTATTCACATTATTTACTTATGAATAACGATTGTTTCCTCACGCAATTCAGTTGATAAATTTAATGATTGAAAATGATTGAATCTATAGTGTAGCCTGCACTAAACTGTAAAAGATACTTGGATATCCTTAAATGCAAAAATTTGCTTTCTCTAAGAAATTCTGTTGACGTGTAATTGTTAATAGAATTGGCAGAAAAATGCAAATAGAATTTTTCAATGGAATTCCAATAGAATTTTTTCATACGTGGGCTTGAGGATGAGCAGGTAATGAGGGCTTGGCTCTTTCAGGCGGTTATCAATAGCACCATCACTCCCAACATGACGTTCACCAAGACATCGCAGAAGTTTGGACAGTGGTCTGATGTCAGGGCCAATACTGTTTACGGGCTGGGGTTCTCGTCGGAGGCTGAATTGGGAAAGGTCAGTTTTTGGGGTTCAGTCTTTTGACATTTTTTGTCTTCTGGATTTTTTTTTCGTTGAAAAACATTATTTTGTGGAAATGTTAATGATATTTAGGGTTGAACCTTGGGAATTATTAGAAAATATTCTGTAGAAAAAATCAAGTGAATTCAATTTTTCTGTTCAACTCATTCTATTAAAATATTTTCAATAGAATTCCCTCGTCTCAAATTTTCAAGTTTTTCCCGTTCTGTTTTTATTTTATTTTCATCGAGAACATCCAACAGAAAAATCGAAAAATTCAAGCCCAAGGGAAACTTTATTTTGTGGAAATATAAATGATATTTAGGGTTGAACCTTCGGAATTATTAGAAAATATTCTGTAGAAAAAATCAAGTGAATTCAATTTTTCTGTTCAACTCATTCTATTAAAATATTTTCAATAGAATTCCCTCGTCTCAAATTTTCAAGTTTTTCCCGTTCTGTTTTTATTTTATTTTCATCGAGAACATCCAACAGAAAAATCGAAAAATTCAAGCCCAAGGGAAACTTTATTTTGTGGAAATATAAATGATATTTAGGGTTGAACCTTCGGAATTATTAGAAAATATTCTGTAGAAAAAATCAAGTGAATTCAATTTTTCTGTTCAACTCATTCTATTAAAATATTTTCAATAGAATTCCCTCGTCTCAAATTCCCAAGTTTTTCTCGTTCTATTTTTCTTTTCTTTTCATCGAGAATATCAAACACCAAAATCGAAAAATTGAAGCCCAAGAATTTCTATAGAAAAATCAAAATCTATCGACGTTGTCTTATTAAATAACAAAGCGTCTAAAATATTTCCACAGTTCATCGAGAAATTTCACGAGGTGAAAGAGGCGACAAAAATAGCTGGTGCAAAGCTGCAATCAAACAGTTCATCAGTGACTCCATCGACAAGTGCAAATGTCAGTCCCATAACCCAGCGCTCCTGCATGCCCTCGTCCGAGCAAGATCTCATCGATCCCCCCAATTCATCCATGATAAACTCAAACCTATCAGCCTCGAACAATCCCAATCCCAATGCCAACATGATATCCGCACAGAACAGTGTGTCATCGGTCAGCAGCAGTCCACTACCAGGCACATGCCAGAACAAAGTCGACGAGGAGCTGAAGAATGCTGTCCACGCTAGATCGCAGATCATCAATCAGCAGCAGAACACGGAGAGCCCACAGCATCAGGGAAAACAGGGACAAATGGGGGTCAACCAGGGACAGAGCATGGAGATGCAATTGAAGTATGAGAATGACAGGCTAAAACTCGCATTGGCACAGAGCTCGGCCAATGCCAAAAAATGGGAGGTGAGGCTCATTTTGGGCTCATTTGATGTACATTTTAGTAGCCAAGTGGTAAAATGACTTAAAAATGTCGAAATATCCTTCTTCAATCATCAAATTTGTCAATTAAATTGCGCGAGAATTCGAGTTACATTTTGCACAAGATTATTATTTTTTTAAACATTGGTTGATTATTCATAATTAATTTAAATTTGTTAAACTTTCGGAAACCTTATTTTTTTAGGCATGAAATTCATTTTTGGTAAAATTCTGAGTATGAATAAATTTATTATGATTTCGAACAAATGATTTTTGTGGTGGAAAATTTATTGTTTATCAATTATTTATACAAAATGCTCGTAATTTTCAAAAACTGCAATTTTTAAGTTATTTTATCAATCTTCTTTCAAAAGTAGTTTCAATTTTTTTTCAGATTTTTTAGTTTTCCATGTTTTCTGACAGTTCTATGTCGAGATTCAAATTCAGACTTGCAAAGTTTAAATAATAAAATCATTGTAAAATTCCTCAAATTTGTCAATTAAATTGCGTGAGAAAAATCATGAATATTCAGCGCCATTCAAATTACATTTCGCACATGATTAAAAACCGTTTTAAATGATTTAGAAATTCTTGGGCTTGAATTTTGATTTAAAAAATGTTGTGTAAGGGTTCAATATCTCTTATTCACCGTATCAAATTCACACCTGCAAAGTTTAATAATAAAATCATCGTAAAATTTTCGGAAACTTGGGGTCAAATGGGGCTCAAATGGCCTTTTAAAAATAAGAACGGCCATTCGAAAGCAAAAATTCTGTAGATTATGAGTATTTTGTGGTCCCAGTGCTCGTTTCGACGCATTATTTCTGTCTGTTTTTACACGTGGCTTCTACGAGGGATATAAATATACCAATTCTCAGCGTTTCGCAAGTCCAAGCTCTGATAACTTCTCAGAATTTCCTCCAGATGAATCATACGTTCAGCATAAATTCTCTTTGGGAATTTCGGTCAATTGAAATTCGCAATCGACGTCTCGATCGTTCGCCGCTCTAATTCGGCGAAATTTTTAATTGGGTGCTGATGGAATTGGGTTAATTAACTTTTCGTTGGATTTTCCAATTACACCAAAGGGCACACAATCACTATAATTATGGTGATGATGGATAATTAATAATAATCACGATTGATTGATGTAACAGGTCAATGTTTGTTTTTTCAATCGTATATTTGTCTGGGGAGGAAATGTCACCGGAATTTAAATCCATTCATCACCGAGATGATTGAATTTTTAATGACATATAAGAAATCGTGTTACGCTTTATCGATTCATTTGACTTTTGTTCAAATTTGTCGTTAAGGTGGAGCTCTCGACCCTAAAAATGAACAACGCGAGGTTGACAAGTGCTCTTCAGGAATCAACAGCGAATGTAGACGAGTGGAAACGACAGTTGCAGCTCTACAAAGAGGAAAATATGCGTATTAAAGCTAAATACGCTGATTTGGAGTCTGGAAAAGTGGCTGAAGGCAACAGTGAGGCACTCAAACTGCGTGTGGAGGCGTTGGAGAACGAGTTGAGGACAAGAAACGAGGAGTTGAAAGCCATGACCATGGCCACCAAGAACAAAGACTTCGTGGTAAGTTCTTTCAATTTCAATCAATGACAAAATCATCTTGAAAATTGGTAGTACAGACAGAACAAAAATTCTATTGGATTTCTATTAAACTTCTATGGAAAAGTGCATTTGTTGAAGAATTCTGTAGCTTTACTGTGGGTTTTTTAATAGAAAATGTCCAATAGAAAATATTTTATAGAAAAAATCAGTAAAATTTTATCTTTCTACGCAATTTTTTATTGAGGCATGAATTTTCAAAGTTTATTCTCTTCTCGTTAAGATAAAAGAGCGAATTCCATTGATGTTTTCTATATAATATTTTCCATTGAACATTTCTATTGAAAAAATAACCGCCCAAGAACTAGTAGAAATCCAATTAATATTTTTTAAAAAATCTACTAGATTTTTCTATAAATTTTTTTCGTACGTGATTCGTCTCAATTATTGCTATGTACATTTTTTATGATCCTCAGGCCCTGCAGAAGGTGAACGACGAGCTTCGTGAGATGCTGGGTGTTGTCCATGAGCAGCTTGAGCTTGCATTGAGTGCAAACAGAGTGCAGAAACAAAATTTGGATACATTGAACTCACGATTAGCTGGTTATATTCAAGATTTAGCGACAGTGCATCGAGAAATAACCAACACACTTCAAACATAAGTAAACATTCTTTTTTTTATTTGAAAAGAATTTAAGAGAATTATTGTGACGCAGGACGTGACGACCTGATCATGACGTAATGAAAATGCAGGATATGATTTTAAAACAGTAAATGAAATGCAGGAGGAGAAACACCAGAAGGGGGAGGATGAGAAACGAAGGGCCATGTTCCAAAAAAATACATATCTTAGTAAACTCCTTCCAGAAGAATTTCCACTGTGCCACTTTACGAGGGTTAACTTTAGTACAGAATGTGCCAGAATCTTTTTTTTCTTTTTTATTTCATGAGCTCGTTAGAGAAGTGGTGAAACGTGTGGGGAAATAGTTGTCGAGTTGAATTTATTTCTGGTAATTGGTTTGGTAATCAGTTTATCCCGAGAATTAGTGGGTCTATGGGATAATGTGGAAGGATCTCCTTTTATAGATGAGAAATTGTCAAAATTGTCTCAAATTTTATCTAGATAATTTAATGATTAGTGTTTGAACTATCTCATGAATTATTGGATTTTGGCTTTTGTCGATTGAAATATCTCGCGAACGAATGGGTTTAGGAGAAAATGTGAAAAGAACTTTTTTGTGGAGGAGACAATTCCCTGCGAAAAGTTTCCTATGACATTTTCCTCTAGGAGCACTCATTATCGAAATAATTCACCATTCAACAGAATGACTAACGTAAGCAATCAAGTTTTTACGTTTTACTATTTCATTATTGATTTTTTACGCTTTAATGCTTGCGAGGGCAAATTCTTACAATATTTTCCAGAGCAGTCATTAACAACGATTCTTTACACGTCGTTGTCAATCATAATCCGCCATAATTGTATAAAAGTATTTGAAATCAGAGGGTGACGTAGAGATTCAATTTTTTTTTAAAGACGAAATCAGTTTCGCATAGGTGGTTAGATATTATTAAACGTAACTATTGTTAATATAATTTTTTTACAAATGAGACTGATCGTTCTTTAGAGTATTTTGCGTTTCTATTGACTCGGATTTTCGTCGCTTAAATGAACAATGAGAGCTTCAACATGTGGAGGAGTTGAGGAAAACTGATCAAAGGAGGTAAACATATCAGTATTGTTGATATGGAATGACGATAAGATTCTGTAGTTTTTTTTTGGAAACTGCCCCTTTGATATTTGTAGGAATAACTATAATTGCAAAGTGCACGAGTAACAGTTAGCGAATAATTGAATGAATTATTTCAATCAAATGACAAATAATTCACGTAAAATTTAACAGAAAAATCTGGCGCTTTTTATAAAAATTCTACCAGAAAATTCTGTTTTCTTCACTGGAATTGGCGCATAAAACCACCAGAATTATTTGATAGAAAGTGCCAGGTTTGTCTATTAAATTCTCTCATACGTGTTCCCACAAATTATTTGGGTTTTGTGGTATCTTCAGAGGGAAGTTGAACACCTTGAGACAGTGTTGCCCTATAATTCATTTTGAGAACCAGAACTCGCATGAATTTTCAATTTTTCAATCTCACGATGTTGACCCCAGAAAATTTTCCATTCCAAACACTCGAAAAATTGTTCATTAATCAACGAATAATTTTTCATGAATTATTATTGCCGTTTGAAGAATGCACAAATGGGGAATAAAGAAACACCTTCGCGCAAGTTCACGTGAAATCAATGAATTAATTGATATAGTTTGCGCAAGGGAGTCGTTGATACTTTTCTATTTTTAATTTTTCGATGAATTTTCGGAATGCCTGCAGTACGTCCATTTTTTTAACCAAATAATTCAATAACAATTTGCCAACAATGTTCGCACAACTCAAGTTGATCATCAACATTGTCAATTTACAGAATGATTTACTGATATTTTAGTTTTAACTACCAATATTTTTGGTAAAATCAATGAAATATTTTCCCTCGACTTATGATATTACATTGTCAGTGGGTGTTGAAAGAATAACCGAAGTGTTAATTTAACGAAAATCAGGGAAAACTACAAATTTGAGCTTCGCTTCCTCAAAACTTAGCCAATGACACTCTCGTTTTACAATTATCACTGTTATCGAAAAAGAAAAAAAATGAAAAAAAGTGAAAAAAAAATATTAAGAAAGACTCAACGAAGTTGTTGATGGAGTTTATACAGTAGTCATCTAGTCCTCCTCGTATACGTGAGTCCATGCACAAAAGAAATAGTGAAAAATAAAAATCATGAGAGACAATTAAATAATTAATGACATGAGGTACGTGAGCGAACGCGCAAGTGCAGTTAATCTCCAAATAACTACTATCAAATCATACTAGGACTTTGTTGTAAATTTTAATGATACATTTTTGGCATTTACAATAGTTGAGAGTTATAATGGGGGGAGTAATTATTTTGACAAATGCACGATCATTGTAAACACCGATCGGTCCTATTGGGATGCGCTGAGGGGGAAAAATACCTGTGCCCCATGGAGAAAACGAATTTACGTGCTGAATAAATCAATCAATCAATTTGATGGAGAAAAATCAGTTTTCTGAGGCATTTTCTAGGAATAAATTCATCCAAAACATCGAATAATGCACGATCCTTCTGGCAGAGGTATCATTTTCCCTCAGTGCGATTAACGAATGAGATAACGTATATTTAAATTGATTCAATTAACGTTAAATTAATCAACCCATCGATTTATTTAATGCAAGATATAAGTATGCTCACCGTAAGACAATATTTTTCAATTAATTTTTTTAAAACTAATCTTCCAGGATTTTAACTTTGTACTCTTGTATTGTATTTATCAGCAGCTAATAATCATCGTATTAATGAGTTTAAGGTAATCAGTGTTATGAATCTCAGTGGCATTTTATTTGTATTAGGGATGATATTAATTTCTCTCGGCTGTTTTTTTTTTCGTTGTGAGATTGCGTTGATCAGCGTTGATTAATTGGTCTCGAGAGGATTTGGGAGTGAAAACATTTATCAATCGGGGGAACAGTTTGCAGTCCCGAATATTTTTCTGTGCAACTTCTGCCATTACGATATTTTCAATGGAAAGATGAAATTCTATTGGATATTTTTTATTAAAAAAACGCAGCAGAGCAGCAAATTCTGCGATTGAATTGACCAAAACTAATGGAATATTCAATAGAAATGTTCACCAGAAAATGAAGATTTAGTTTAAATTAAGTTTTGATCAGATTTTTCGATACAAATGATTTTATCAAGATATTTCCTGTAGATAATGTCTCAATAGAAGAACGAAATCCCATTGATTTTTTCTATTAAAAAAACGTGCGGAATTCTTCAAGAGAATCGGCCAAAAATTAATATAATTTTCAATAGAATCTTTTCGTATTTCACTATTTTTTTCACTCCCAATGCCTCTTAATGATATTGATCTAATGAAAAACGAGAAAAGTGAGGGGAAAATTGAAATACCAAATATTTATTCCTTGATAAGAAGTAATTAGTCACGTATTTAAACATTTTATATGAAAGAGAGGGAATAAATTATAATTGACATGTTTTTAATCATCGGAATGAGTAGATAAGTTTTTAACATATGTAAGTGATGATGTTTTTAACACGTGGAGACGAAAAATCATGCCATTGGGGGATGAGGGGTGCACATGAGGCATTACTGATCGTTCTATTTGTAATGCCAATTTGTCCAATGAGTTGCCACAGTTTCTATTGACACAATGATGAATCTCGTTAGATCTGATTAATCATTTGTTACTGTATCATTTGTAAGAATTCATGGGAATGTTCCTCAATCGGATGATCGGTACAAACTATTAATGATGTATATACAATACTGTTTTATTTAATTGAAGGGGGGGAGGAGGTGAGGATTTTGGTCATCGGGACAACACGATTTTGAGGGGAAGTAATAAATGAGGTAATAACTATGCAATTGTTTGTGAAATTGTGGATGTTTTTAAGATGAACCGAGAGAAAATAACGTGGATACGTAGTGATTGAAATGACAAAAGGATACAATAAAAAATTGATGAATAAATAAATGAGTTTTACTATGTTTATTCGTCGTTTCCTCTTGAATTTATTGTCGTGCCTTCAAAATATCACTCGTTGTTGTGGTAATTTTGGGATTAATGTGTGAATTATCTCAAGAATTACTGGAAATTAATTTTTTTTAGTGGAAATATTTTGAGAGTGAATGGGTTTAGGAAAAAATGTTGAAGAAATTTCGTAGAAAAATCAAATTTTTCCATTGAACTTTTCTATTGAGGGGCTGCTGAATTTTTCTATAGAATCCGCAAAGACTAATGAAGATTTATAAATATGGAGATGAACAACAAAATCAAATAGAGTTTTCTAGAAATTTCTCGATATGAATTTTCAAAGTTTTTTTTTTCGACGTCTGAAAAAATTCGATAGAAAATTCTATTGGAATTCTATAGGAATTCTATTTGCTTTTGCGCTGATTCTATTGGATATTCGATAAGAAAACTTCAATAGATTTCGAATTTATGTTAGAATTCTTGAGATTTTTTCTATTTGAAATTATTGGGTAAAAATTTTCTTCGTATTTTCCGCTAGAAATAGAATTTTCCAATGGAATTCCAATATAAATTCTATAGAAACCCCATAGAATTCCTATTGAATTTTTTCATGCGTCTCCTTCCATCGAAAAAAATCCAGCAAAAACCCAAAGAAAATTCGAGCCGAGGAATTTCCCCAGAAAATATCTCAACCAATAAGTCGTCCAGAAGAATCGAATCCCATTGATTTTGAGTATCGACCATTTCCCGAACCATTTTGATTCTCAAAAAAGACTTGAGAAAATCAAAATGAAAATAGAAAATCAGTGCGAGTCCCCCAGCTGTCACTGTCAGTCACTGTTGCTTCCATCGAAAAAAATCCAGCAAAAACCCAAAGAAAATTCGAGCCGAGGAATTTCCCCAGAAAATATCTCAACCAATAAGTCGTCCAGAAGAATCGAATCCCATTGATTTTGAGTATCGACCATTTCCCGAACCATTTTGATTCTCAAAAAAGACTTGAGAAAATCGAAAATGAAAATAGAAAATCAGTGCGAGTCCCCCAGCTGTCACTGTCAGTCACTGTTTAACTTAGAATTAACTAACCTCCCCCTAACCTCGAAACCGTGTCTCCTCCGTCACCATGAGCTTCTCAGTGTTCGCTTCCACGCTCGTCCTGTGCAGCTCGGAGACAGTCCTCGCGTTCGACCTGTCCCGGCGCTCCCTCCGGACGCTGAGCCTCCCAAAGCTGAGGACCACCAAGGAAATAAAGCCCCACAACAGAGGGGAAACCGACTCGTTCCACGGGATAACCTCAGTCTCGATCTCCGGCGACGGTCACTACCTCAGCGTCTGCACGAACAGGAAGCAGCTCTGCCTGTACAGAACGAAGGATTTTTCCCTGCTGTCCAACCGGACTCTGGTGAGGGCGGCGAGTCGAGTGAGGTTCACCCCTGGGAACGACGTGATTGTCGCCGACAAGTCCGGCGACGCCTACCTGTTCTCCACGTGCCACCCAGACCGACCTGGGGAGCTCCTCCTGGGGCACCTGTCGATGCTGCTGGACGTCCTGGTCTCCGACGACGAGAGGTTCGTCGTCACTGCGGACAGGGACGAGAAAATCCGCGTGTCGCACTACCCCAACTGCTACAACATCGAGTCGTTCTGTCTGGGGCACTCGAAATTCGTCACCAACATCTCGGAGCTGCCGCACGACAAGAGGATGTTGGTCTCAGCTGGTGGAGATGGAGAGCTCAGATTTTGGAATTACGTCGAGGGGGTCGAGGTCAAGAGCGTTGGGTTCATGGGGCACATCGAGGAGAACCACGTGGAGAGGCTGAACGAGGGCCTGAGGGATCTGGAGCTCCAGGAGGCGGTCAGGAATCTCCCGGTGAAACGACTGGCGTTGGACATGGTGAATGGCAAGTCCGTTCTGATCAGCAGTTTTTATGGCTCTGGGGTCGTGCTGGTTTACCAAGTCGATGGGGATCTTGGGGTCGAGCTCCTGCAGACGATCTGCGAGGAGGAGGAATCCTTGGAGTGCGTACTCTCTGGGGGGAGACTGTGGATCTTGTTCGAGTCGGGGATTAAAGTGTTTTGCTTTGAGGGGACTTTTGTTGGGGATTCCGAAATTAATGAAGCGCTGGGGGAGGTGAATCAGACGTGGAAGGAGTTGAGAGCGAAAGTTTGTGAACAGATGTTTTATCCAATTTTGTATAAGAGGAAGTTTGATAATGTTCAGGAGTATCAGGAGAGGAAGAAGTCGAGGATGAAAGTATCTAATTGACGTTAAGAATTAATTGAGGCGGTTGAGGGTTTTAAGACTATTTATAAATTTGTTTGTATATTTTTTCTAATGGAACTTATTAAAGACAAATTGCGAAACAGTCATTTTGGGTCTTTCATTGCTCTCTTTTGTTTAAATGAAATATTAATTGTTAAAATTTCAAATTTTGACAATTAAAAATAACAAAAATAATTAAAATTTTAATTTTTACGCACGACAGAGGGTCTTGGTCTCCGCTGGAGGAAATCGTGGATGAAATTGTCTAATTGACATTGCGAATTAATCGAGGGAAAGTTTGAAGACTATTTATAAATTTATTTGTATATTTTTTTACGAAACTTCTCCAATTAAATACATATTGCGATTATCTCATTTCTTTTTTTTATCTGAATTAGTTATACAAATGATAATAAGCGACAGAAAAATGTTAAAAATGAGGAACGAAATAATTAAACTGGTTTGTAGTCTAGTTTGGACTCGAGTTTTTTGTTGTCTGACACTTTTCTCACTGCTTTCATGAAGTCCTCCTGGATTACGTACTCACGCTCGAGACGAATGGCGAAGAGACCCGCCTCGGTGCAGACGTTACGGAGATCTGCGCCGTTGAAACCGTCGGATAATTTGACCACCGCTTCGTAATCTGAATAAAACAGACATCAAAAACATCAATGATTCATTGAATGAGTGAAAAAATTTATGAATTGATGAATCCGTGAATTAATAAATCTTGTTCTCAAACAAATGGATGAATGGATAAATCAATTAATTAATTAATTAATTCCTCCAACAAAAAATGAATAAGTGCATAAATTAATAAATTAATGGATAAATTAATAAATTGATCAATTAACCAATTCCTCCAACAAAAAATTAACAAGTGCATAAATTAACAAATGAATTCATTAATTTTCTCTTACCAATCTCCCCGTGCTTAGCAATGGGTGCAGCATGAATCTTCAGAATTTCAAGTCTCGCTTGTTCATTGGGCAGGGGAATTTCGATTTTCCTGTCCAATCTACCTGGACGCAGAAGGGCTGGATCCAGTGTGTCTGGTCTGTTCGTCGCCATGATCATCTTGACTTGTCCCAGGGAGTCGAACCCATCCATTTGATTCAACAGCTCCATCAGGGTTCGCTGGATCTCACGATCTGCACTTGTACCTTCTGAGAACCTTCTGCCACCTGCAATACAAAAATGAATCAGTAAATAATCCTCAGTAAATAATATTGATTATTATATCGATATGATTTCGGAAAAAATCTGAATCTATTGATTTTTCGTGTAAAAAATTGTCTATCAAAAATTTTTGTTGCAAAAATATATCCAGTCCTTTCAAAAAAAAATTATTCTCTGTGCAAGCAAGAAATATAATTCGTATTCTGGAAAGCAGAGGAATTATTCAGGTATGAAACTTTGAAATTCGAACCAAACAATTATTATTTTTTTAAATTTAACCCAAACAATTCAGTAGTGAAGTGGTAAAACGGTTTAAGTCGACTTATCTGCTGAGTTTTTGAAGAATATCTCCGAATCTAAAGGAGATAGCGAAATTTTCGTAATAACCTTTTTTCTAGAGCAAATTGAGGGCTACAAAAAAGGTCCTGACCAAAGTTCAGCTATCTCCCTTAGATTCCGAGATATTCACTGAAAAATGGCCAATAGTCAAAATCGACCGTTTTATCACTTCGCTACTGAATTATTCTTTGGTAATTTCCAACTATCGATTTCGTTGGCCCAACCAGGATTTCTCTGAGTGCATTCTCATCGAAATGAGGCATTTTATATGAAAATACTGACCAATGGCATCGATTTCGTCCATGAAGATGATGCAGGGCTGATGATCACGCGCATAATTGAACATCTCACGAATGAGTCTGGCAGACTCTCCAATGTACTTATCAACAATAGCACTGGACACGACTTTGAGGAAGTTGGCGTCGAGTTGGCTGGCAACAGCACGCGCCAGAAGGGTTTTCCCAGTGCCAGGGGGACCGTACAATAAGCATCCTTTCGGTGGAGTTATCCCAACGCGTTGGAACAATTCAGGATTGAGCAGGGGGAGCTCGATCACCTCGCGAAGCTCTCGAATTTGCTCACTGAGACCTCCAATTGCTGAGTACGTGACGTCCCCTGGGTCTTCGTGGGACATGTTGTAGACTAGAGGATCGACCTGAGAGAACAATCAGAATAATCAGTGGCGAATTGATGACAATGAAAATTCAAAAGGATTTATCGAGAAAATTAATCAGAATTGAGGGTTTTAATTGGCTTTTTGAGGTTTTTGGCTTGAGGACTCACCTCACGAGGTAAATAACGCATGATCGTTAACGTTGTCATGTCGAGGGCTACTCTGGTCCCAGATTTAAGTTTATTCTTGTCCAACTGACGTCTGCAGCCTACTACGTAGCGAGGACCATTTGTTGCTTTTACAATAACTGAAATGAAGAAATTATGTATTCGAAATTATTTATTCTGAATTGAAAAACTGTTCATTCTCTAGATAATTTACTCACATTTTTCTTCAGTAAGTTGCTTCAAAACCTCCCCCACAATCTAAAATCACAAAACATCAATGAATAATTGAACTTTAAAGTACAATAAATTTTAATGAGTTTGAAGACAATAAAAAATGAATAAAAATTATGAGAAGGTAAAAATTGTTGTCTTAATTGGAGCTCTAAAATTTCTCTCTGAAAATCCCAAATATTTCCCAAAAGCGGACGATTGCCGAAGCCAAGTCGATTCATCCTGCTCCAAAATTCATTACTGAAGCCATTAATTACGAATTATGATCATTTTTGTTATTATTTGTACCTGTCCAACACTCTGCAGTGCCTTCAGATCATTCTCAGACTTGTCATACTGTTTTGTGAGGTCTTTGAGGTGTTCTCGCACTGAAATAAGAAAAAATGGATAAAAATGTGTTAATAAACTCTGAAAATTATTGTGACAATCTTCTGGAGATTGAATTAATGACATAAATCGAGTGTTCTTGATTGAATGAGGATCTGGAGGGAGTGGATGACAGACTCTAAAGTGCACACAAAGGTTAACCCCAAACCCAAGTGAATTTTCCTCTTTTTTGTCCCAAAAAGAGGAAAATGCCTCTACATACTTTCTTTTAAGCGAGCCTCCACCTCCTTGTGCTCCAGGAGCTTTTTCCTGTAATCTTGAAGGGCCTTTTCCCTCACAGAATCCATGGGAGCTGCCATTTCTCCCGTATTTTGCTGTATAACGATTGGGAAATGAAAATTCCGCTTCTCTAGACGTGAAAAACCGGTGTTACTCTCGTTGAATCATCGATCGAACGAGACAGAGGGCACAAACTCCAGGAAATTATCGTTACACCTACTTTACCAACATTTTCATCACGAGGGAGTGATCTCAGACCAAGAGATGGCGGTGACAGGGCTAAAAAATTAGTGAAAAATTAGAAAATTATGAAAAGTCGAGTGCAATTATCCAATTTTACTTGGTAATAATCGCGGAAAATTAATGACTGATTGCGGACGAGTTTATGTGAAAATGATAATTAAATTCTTACGATTGATCGATGTCGCCACTGGTCTCGATAATTAATAACGTGTAATTTAATTTTTCTCCTGCAACACATCCCTTCATCTGTTCGTTAAACAGTATTTTTCGAGTGAAAACATCTCTGTAAATACTTGCCGCTGTCGAGTGAGTGTCGAGAGAGCGCCCAATTCGGTAACTGAGAGGACAGCTCGGGCTTTTCCACCTGGCAGGGGTTCAATATCACAGCCATGACCTGTGAGGGCATTAAAATTACGTAAAAAATAGGAATTAATTGCTTAATTTTGATGAATTCCCTCTTTTGAGCGTTTTGTGTTTCGAAAAATGGTTTATTGGATCCTTAAGAAACAATTTGTCAAGAGGTACTGTACCACGGTGATTAATTGTTTGGTAATTGGGGGTCATTAGGGAGTGCATGTGGTTTTGCTCAGTTTACCCTTTACTCTGGTGTTCACTAACATTTTTCTAGTCGAGATTGGGGGGTTATCACACGCAGACCTTGACACTGAAAACATATGAGGAGTCTTGTCAGATGTTGGCATGAGATTAACATTTAAATGGGAATGCGCTGTGACGGCAGGGAAATTTATTGTTTATTTGGCCGGAGAGGCCGGAATAGAGTCGTATGATCTTTAGTTATTGTCAGCTCAACTCGTCTGGGGTAACGTCGACCTCGAGTCCTTGTGTCGCTTTGGTAATTCAAGATTTTGAGGGGTCGATTATGAATTGGAGCAGGTATGCATTTACATCTTCACAGTATTTGAATTTGAATTTTTGGGGTTTTGGGGAGCAATGGGGACATTCGGGGGGACGCGAGGTGGGGGATACAAAGGGTGAAACGAAGTTTTGGAAAATTTAATGAAAAATGGGATTATTTTCTCATTTTATTTATTGGGGCTGATGGGGTAAAACGGACACTTTTTACTTTTTTTCAAATGCTAATGACAATAACAATAATAACAATTCTTCCCTCTTGTGATGAGCCTAGACTGAGCTCAATTGATAAACATATTTATGAGTTATGAATATTTTTAAGAAGGTGAAAAGGGTCCATTTAACCCCACCCCCCACTATGCAAGAATTTTTCTCTTAAATTTTTTCTATTAGAATTATTGGGCACAAATTTTCCAATTTTTTTCCGCTGGATTTTGTTTCGCTTTGCATTGCAGAATCCGAGTGGAAAAAACTTAGAAACTTGATGCCCAAGCATTCTTGTAGGAAAAGTCTCAAGAGAAAAATTGAAGCAGAAATTTGAAGTCTATTGCCTTTTTCCAATAGAATTATCGCAAAAAACGAATAGAATTTTCCAATAGAATTCCAACCGAATTTTCTAGCGAATTCCCTAGGTTTTCTATTGAACTTCATGCGTCCACTCCTCCAATTTATCTAATAATCATCCAATTCCGCTGTCCACCGGCAACACAAAAAATCATTCATTCAGCATTTGAAACTTAAAACAAAACTGTCACCCCTACGCACCACAATCGGTGATTCATGGGAATAAATGGGGATAAGGCACAATAGCACACAACGCTCAAAGTTGATTCACACTCCAGCTGTTGTTTTACTGTACCACATGGTACTCCCCCCACAGTTGATCGATTTTTTTTGTGTTTAGGTTTTGTCAGTCTGGTGTAGACAATAACGATTGAGAGTGCTGTGTACAACAATTCTTTATTTTTCATTGAAATTATCGGGAAGAGTCAATTAACACAGAGCTCCAGCTAATTTTGAATCTGGCGAGTGATCAGTGTTTCGTTGACAATAAGTCAATTACTAACAATGCAGTCGAAATACCTTCTCATTGCTGGTCTGGTGCCATTCATCGCTCTTGATATCTGGCATACTGGAGCGTAAGTTTGCTGACATCTGTATTTTCTGTGGAATTCGCTGACTAGTCTGTTGCATTGAAATCACTCTATTTCTGTCATCAAATGCATGTCAAGTTTTTCACTGTTTCGTAATTCATTTCGATGCAAAAAAATGTACGGAGAATTCATCTTGATAGGCTGTCGTGCACTCTAGCTGTTTCGTCTGCCCTCCGAGCACTCATTACAGTGTTTACATTTTTTTTCACTCATCTACTCGTTTGCGTGATGCCAGTGTTGGCCTGTCTGGTGGAGGATGAAGGAGAAAACTGCGAAAACAAGAGATTCATCTGAGAGCGATGGATTCTATAGGGAGGGTGGGGTAAAATGGACACTTTTGACTCCCTTGAAATGTTCATGACGTGTTGAATTGCACAGGAAATGAAATACTTACAAGTACAATTACAAATACAAGTTCTCATCGCTTCCCAAGAATTTCTCCTTAGAAATGCTATTGATTCCAATCAACTCAAATAATAACGTGATGAATCGTAAAATTTAGGAGGATAAGCCGTAAGAGTTTGAATGCTTTAAATAGAAAAAAATCATATGAAGTCTATCAAATTGATCTGGAGCGCGCCTTGGAGCTCTTTTCTAAAAAATCAGACGAAGAAACTTCGAAAATTTGAGCCGAGGAATTTCTTCTGCAGAAAATATCTCAATAAAACTAGTACCGGCTAATAAAACAGAAAGCTCTGCACTTTTTTATCGAATTCACTAGGTTCCTCTGTAATAGTTTTTCACACGTGATCACGCGATGTGTTGTCCAGTGCTGCAATATTCTTTTGCAGATTCGTGATATGCACAGCCAAGGTGATGATCGTGACGTACCTCATAATATTCGGCATTTGTCCGCTGATATTCCATTATTCGTATGGCTTTCAACGTAAAGTGCTCTTCTTAAACTTTGGTGAGTTCCAACATTGTTTATTAATTCTATTAATTAAATTGCAGTACAATTCATTGATGCAATCCAATTATTTGGCATTAAACTCAATTATTTTACTTTAAAAACAAGACGACTGTACATTTTTTACTAAATGAACTAAAAAATAAATATGATAAATTAATTTAATAATAACGAATAATACGATAAATTCATTTCAGGAGAAAAAGTCAACAGATTTTTTTCCATTGCACATTTAAAAAAAGTCGTTTCGCTATTTCACGCCTAAATAATCAATTATTCCTTAGGAATAATAACTAATGACAATGATTTTTTTCCAGTACACTGGCCCCCATCAATAGACTTTGATAATCCCGAGAGCGTAGGCCTCGAGGGGGCGCGAAATTTCTATTTAAGTACGAGCGAGGATGTTAAAATAGGTACATGGCAGATTCTGCCGAGATCGCTGGTGAATGAGTCTGTCAAGTGGACTGAGGAGGACTTCAATGCAGCACTGAGGAGTCCACAGAGGCCTGTATTCCTGTACATGCATGGGAACAGTGGAAATCGAGCCAGTAGCCACAGAGTGGAGCTTTACAAGGTCTTTCAGCAGCTGGATTACCACGTCATTGCCTTCGACTACAGAAGCTACGGGGACAGTGACCCTGCGGATCTGTCGGAGGATGGGGTCGTTGAAGACAGCAAATTTGTGCTGCAGTGGCTGATGAAGAAGGTCAATGGGAGTGTGCCAATATTCGTCTGGGGACACTCGTTGGGGACTGGGTAATTTTTTTTCTCCTTTTTTGTTGGATTGAGGGATGAGGTATTCGTTTTGTTGAGACCAGAAGACGAGACATTTGATATTTTCGAAGTATTCAGGCTCTCCTCATCCCTCGAGACTTCTTTCTCGACTCTCCCCTCTGGTTCTCCTCATCCAGCTCCATTTTATCTCCACTCATTGATTCATTGATTCATTCATTGAGTAATCAATGTTATGGAATGATTAATGAATCTCTGAATGATTGAGCAATCTCTTTATTAGAGTATCCAGTCACGCCCTGGCACTCCTCGCAGAGGAGAATGTCAACCCAACGGGGCTCTTCCTCGAGTCTCCATTCAACAACATGAATGACGAGTTGAGCTATCACCCCTTCGCTCAGATATTCAAACACTTGCCCTGGTTCCACTGGGTAATTGTGCAGCCGTTCTACGGTAATGGCTTGAAATTCGAGTCTGATAAGCACATTGGGGGCTTCAAGTGTCCTGTGATGATTCTTCACGCTGAGGATGACAACGTCATACCCATTTCCTTGGGGGAAAAGGTAATTTCTTCACAAGAAATTAATATTTACTTGAAATTAATGGCTGTTTTTATTTATTTTCATAATCGGAAATGATCTCGAATTGCTATTCAGTTTTACATAGCCCTGGAGTCTCCAAACATTATGATTGTACAATCGAAAAAACGTTGAGAAAAAGCTGAACATTTTTAAAGGGCGTTTTTAAATAATATTGGGAAATAAACACAATAGGGGGAAGTGCAATTAATAATTTGATGTTTCTAATGGCGGTTAGGTCGTCATTTGTCACAGTAGTCATGATAAATTATCCATTCACTATTTTCGCTCTATCGGACTTATTTCTTAATCTTTATTAAAAACGCTGTTTGAAAATGTTCAGTTTTTTCTACTTTTTTTGATTGTACAATCATAATTTTTAGACACTCCTGCGTGGTGTAAAAACCAATGGAAATTGGGGTATATTTTACATTATGAAGATGGAAAAACAATTAATTGTCTTAATTGTTTTTGTTTTGTTTTGTAGTTGATGGTCATTTTGGGTTCGAATAAATTTTCTTTTCGTGCTTTTGTTGCAGCTGTATAAAGAAGGATTGAGATTACATAAAGATGACCCCAATCAGGTGGACATGGTCAGGATAAATGGGTCCTTGGGACTTGGTCACAAGTACATATGTCGATATGAACCTCTACCAAATATAATTGAGTGCGTATTGTGCTACATAAAATTATTATTCTTTTTAATAATTTATTTTTGCGAATGTTCCAAATTGATTTTTGTCTGTTTTTTTTATTCTTGCAGGACATTCGTAGCAAAAGCCCAGTCTAGACACCGTCAATGAGGAGATTTACCTAAATTCAGGAAATTTAGTATAATATTTATGCCGAAGAAATCCGGCGAGTTGACTCAATTCTCATTTGATTTCACCAGGATCCAATAATACTTAATTACGTATTATTTGAGTGACTTGTGTCCAGTATTTTTGTGATAAATACGAAATTGAGAAAATGTGCATTAATAATTTACTTGTTTTTTCTTGGGAGTAAGTCTGATTGATGATTAGATATTGTGTGAGTGTACGCTTCAGTGAGGATTTGGTTTAATTTATGTGTTCAAGTGATGAAAGATGATAATAAATGTGAAGCTCTTCGTCTCACTCTGGCATTTTTTTCTGACATTCTGTAAGAAATCTCCTCATATGTCCCATTGTATTCATAAGTTATATCCTGGAATAAATTATTTCTATCGTCTGGTTCTCTGGAAAAAAGGAGAGGAGAATCATAGAGAAATTGAAATTCCGTCACCTCCGCCATTACTCTAGATCAGCTGATCTCAAACAAAACATTGTTGTCATCGAACCTTCGACTCCAAAGTGTTTCCTCGAGGATTTAACTGCTGAAGAACAGAAAAACGATAATATCGAGAGTAAAAAAAGGTTCCCTCATTATTTTCAACACTTCTGCATGAAATTCCAGTTAAAATTTTTTGATGTACTATTGAATGTTAATTTAAGTGACTTCTAACCTCTAAAAGTTCAATGCAACCGGTAGTTAGCGTGGGAAATAATAACGAAACGGTGATATTATTACCATAACAATTGATTTTAGGGTAAAATGAGTCGAAAGGAGGCACTTTCACAGTTTATTCAACAAATTCACGGACGTCCAGTGGTCGTGAAGTTGAACAGTGGAGTCGATTACAGAGGTAATTATCCCCAGTTCCCTCTTAAAATTTTTTAAAAATATTTTTTTAATATTTAACTTCAATAATATTCTTTGTCTGGTGTTTTCTCCACTGAATCGGCCATGCGAGGCTACTATTCTCGGTGAAGTGCTCAGTCAGAAGATGAATTAATGAAGAAATAAGAAAAAACTAAAAAAATATTTCATAATACGTTTTTTTCTTGCTTTTAAAGTATAAATTCTTGTAATGAAACCTGATTTTCAAAATTTAATTTATCACGTCGAAGTTCTTCATTTAATTATGATATTATAATTGACGTTTAGGTGTTCTGGCCTGCCTCGATGGATACATGAATATCGCCCTTGAGCAGACTGAGGAGTACGTGAATGGACAATTGAAGAATAAATATGGGGATGCATTTATCAGAGGGAACAATGTCCTCTACATCAGCACCCAGAAACGCCGAACATGAGCGTCTTTTATTCCTAATTAATTACCAATAATTTTCCCCTCCCAATTTCTAATTTCACAAAGGACCAGGACATCTCATTCCCCAATAAACACTCTCCAACCACTTTTCCATGTTTTTACAAATAATCTTTATTATACCAAATACATGTTAAAAACTTCTCTCGATGCATACAAATATCAACGAATAAAAACGGAATCTCCCAATGAATCGAAGTATCAAAATAATTATTTCAGAGACGAGCGATTCCCCTTGATGAACATGTCCACAGCAGCTCCAATCTCCTTATCAAGTTCCTCGTCAGTCAGGAGTTTCTTCGAGGTATTCGTTTTGTTGAGCCCAGAAGACGAGACATTCGATATTTTCGGAGTATGCAGGCCCTCCTCATCTCTCGAGACTTCTTTCTCCACCTCTCCCGTCTGTTTCTCCTCATCCAGCTCCATTTTATCTCCACCTCTGTCCTCTCCCACCTCCCCAACGTCCTCAGAACCTCCATCACGTTCAGTTCCCCCATGTTCATCAGAAGCAACTTCTCCCCTCTTGCCTCCAGGCTCAGGAGCACCTGACAATTCTGCATTTCCCTCTGGATTCTGTGTCTCCTCCACCTTCTGCTTCATCCTCGCGAGTTTCCTCTCCATGGCCGCCTGCCTGTTCCTCTCACTCCTCTTCTTGGTCTCCTCCTTCTCGTCAACATCCTCAACAGGAGCTGAAGCCTCCTGCACGTTCTCAGCCCTCTCCTCGGCTCCCTGGGGGACTACTCCCTCAGACTCTTCATCAACTCCAGTCGTCTCTCCCCCAGCCTCGACCCTCTCCCTCTCCCTCATCCTCGCGAGTTTCCTCTCCATCGCCAGCTTCCTGTTCGCCTCCGCCCTCCTCCACTCCTCCTCATCCAGCTCTGCCCTCACCCCTGGACTCTCCTTCCCCAACTGACTGCTCACCTGCTTCGTCCTCTCGATCTGCTCAGCAATCAGCATGTCAAACTCGTCGACTGGCTCAGGAGATTTCTCCCTCCCCTCTCCCACCTCCTCGTTCTCCTCCTCCATGACCTGATCAACGCTCAGCATGTCCTTTCTGTACTTCGTCAGGTACGTCTGGAGCTCCTTCTTGGACCCCAGGGCCTCCGCCTTCTCCAGAAAATCGTCGAACTGGTACTTGGGGAAGAGCCTGTGTGCCCAGTGCTCCAGTCGCTTCATCACTCGCTCCAGGTCCGCCTTCTCGTGGCCCTTCCCGTGGAATTTGAAGCCCTCGAAGTACTCCTCGATCGTCGCCACGCCCTTCGGACCCTTCAGGCGAGCTGGGTTCAGCTTGGGAATCTCCCGGCGGATTATCTTCTTCTTTGATGTCGATGGGTCTATCCTCCGGCCTTCGCCGTCTTCGCCTTCTTCGTTCTCCTCGGGGTTCTCTTTAGTCGACTCCGGGGGCTCTTTATTCTCCTCTGGGTCCGACAGCGACATCCTGGTGGCCTCGTGGTCGGATTGGTCCTGGGACATTTTGAAGGGTTGACCCTATTGATGGTTTGATTGCCGTTTTGATTTTGGTTTTGGGGGAGAACGTTTTTTGGAGGGGCTCGAGCCCTCCGGGGATGATTTTTCAAGGGTTCGTGGGCTTTGAGAATGCGAAAATGAGGTTTGGTGATGGGATGGTGAGGATTCTGATGTTGTTGTTGGGGAATTGGTGGTTTTTCAAGGGTTCGTGGGCTTCGAGAGTGCGAAAATGAGAATGAAATTCAATTTTTTTTTTTATCGTTTGAGGGATTTACTGTTTTTTTTATTAATGTTGGATCCTCGCAGAGATCATTTCCATTCAATTTCGATCAGGAAGGATAAACAATGATGATTATCGAACGGATATCGATGATTTTTATGTTGTTTATTGATTATTTAAAGATTTTGGAGTTAATTTTTTCGATTTTTTATCGTTTGAGGAATTTAATGGTTTTTTTATTAATGTTGGATCCTTGCAGAGATCATTTCCACTCAATTTCGTTCAGGAAGGATAAACAATAATGATTATCGAACGGATATCGATGATTTTTATGTTGTTTATTGATTAGTTAAAGATTTTGGAGTTCAATTTTTTTGATTTTTTATCGTTTGAGGAATTTACTGGTTTTTTTATTAATGTTGGATCCTTGCAGAGATCGTTTCCATTCTATTTCGATCAGGGAGGATAAACAATGATGATTATCGAACGGATATCGATGATTTTTATGTTGTTTATTGATTATTTAAAGATTTTGGAGTTCATTTTTTTGTTTTTTTATCGTTTGAGGAATTTAATGGTTTTTTTATTAATGTTGGATCCTCGCAGAGATCGTTCCCATTCAATTTCGTTCAGGAAGGATAAACAATAATGATTATCGAACGGATATCGATGATTTTTATGTTGTTTATTGATTATTTAAAGATTTTGGAGTTCAATTTTTTTTCTTTCCCAGAGAATTGTTTATCGTTTGAGTAATTTAATAGATTTTTATTAATTTTGGATCCTTGGAGAGATGAGACATTCAATTCCTCAACTTCACAAGCGAAATTTCGATCTTCCGATCGACTCCATCAGTTCTGATCCTCCAAATCGATAATTTCCAATAATTTTTTATCCTTGAAAATATGCAGTGATGATTGTTGAACGTAAACATCGATAAAGCCCACTAATTATTAACGATTCACCGATCCACAGCTCCAATTTACTGACTCTCAACAATTTCCTCCGAACTCTTTCAGAAATTCCGTTGTTTTTTTTATTCAATCGTCGGTTTTGCCCTCCCGGAGGCAGTTACCCGCCAATTTTACTCCCCGAGAGCGTGCCAAAATGATCGTAGACCGTAAGTTGATATTTTTTAGTATTATTATTAATTTGCTTACTGTTTTTGGGGCCTCAGTCCTTCAGTCGTGGGTGAATGTTCTGTTTTCTGCGATTTTATCGTTCGTAAAAGAGAGTTTTCAGTTTTTATTTGATCGCGTTGACGAAAGTATAACCTCACCCTCGATTTCTCCAATCTTTTAAGGCGACAATGGGCGGCTCAGATCATTATTTGAAGTCACTCTTGTCGTCCTCCCTTTCGGAGTCATGACAATCCACGAATTTATCGAAATCACCGGTTTTACTCATTCGCTCGAGAACAGATTCCACGAGTTTTTTATTCAACTTGTCTGTCTGCGTTAACTCACGCACCACGTTCGCTTTGTATTCGGTGTTACCGTCGTCCTCTGACTCGGCAATGTGTTGATTAGCGTTTTTATGGGGGTTCTCGCGGGTAATCGGTGTACCTGGCATTTTTAGTAATTTGCGGTGCAACAAATTTTGTCAATTATTTATGAGGCGTGGGAATGCTGGTGAGGAAGGTCAAGTGTCTTGTTTCCACTTTTTCCGGGGAACTGGCAGCGAAGTGCGCATGAAGGAAAAATTTTTGATCGCTCGGCGGGGGGAGGGGAGTCTGCTGTGACGATTTGTGACGAAAGGAGAGTGAGATTGTGCAGATTGTGACGTCACACGATTTGTTTCCGTTTTTAACGGCGAAATGGTAAATGCAGACGTGTGAAAAAAATTAATAGAACGGCCTCTAGAGGCCGCGCGAGGTTTTCTATTAAATTTTTGCATATGTGGAATGTAAAAATCTGTCGACTTTTTTCTGGGAAAAAAAACAGACTTCAAGAGAATTTGGGTAGATCAGCGGTAGAAAAGCATTGAAAAATTATTGTATTCAATTTTTCTGTTAAATTTTTTCATGGAGCGGAAAAAACTTTAAATTATATGTAAATAATTATGTATAATAATTTATAAGGGGAGAATAAATTTATGAAATTTGTGGAAAATCTAAATATCAATCCATGTGGTTTTTTCTATGAAATGTCTCTTAAAAAATTATATGCTATCAAGCTGCGTAAATTTCAATAGAATTCCTATCGATCTCGAAAAGGAAATCATTAGAATTCCTGAGATGAAAAACGCTAGAGTTTTCTATGATCTTATGATGGGAAACGAATAAAAATACAACGGCAAAAATTTGGAAAACTTATAGCGAATAATTTTTGTAGAAAAATTCCAAATCTGGTTTTTTTCCTATCAAACATTTCTTAAAAAATTACATGCTATCAAGAGTTGCATAGATTTCAATAGAATTCCTATAAATCTCCAACAGAAAATCATTAGAATTCCTTAAATAAAAAGCGCTAGATTTTTTTAATCATTATATGATGAGAAATGAATAAAAATACAGCAATAAAAACTTGGAAAGTTTATGAAATTTAGGAAAAATCAGAATCAAAATCTATCGGTTTCTTTCCATGAAACATTTCTTGAAAAATTACATACTATTAAATTGCATAAATTTCAATAGAATTCCCATAGATTTTGAATAGAACATCATTGGAATTTCTTAAATAAAAAGAAACGGATAAAAATAACAACATAATTCAACATAAATTCGAAAATCATTAGAATTTTTTTTATCAATTTTTTTCACACCTGCAATCGCCAAAAATTTCCATATTTTTTTCAAAAAGCTGGTGAGACCCTCTCGCCCCCTGAGAAGATAAATCCTCTAGAGAGAGAGCCAACCGAAGACGTGGACTTTGCCGATGTTTGCGTGCTAATCCCCACATTTGAAAAACGATAATGGCATTGCGTGAAAAATGACAGGTAGTAAGACGCGAAATCGTTGGTCGTGGTGAGCGCAACCACGTGGAGTTGCAGTTTTTCCACCTGTGAAACTGCAGCATTAGTGTTGAGAAGGCAGTGGTAGGGGGCACACATGGAAAATAAAACTGAAGACGCGAAAAATAGAAGGGATAAGGCCATCTCCCCGGATCCGATTGAATGAGGGGGAAAAAAAATACAATTTTTTTGCCACAGTTGCATTAATATAATCCATGTTATCGTGACATTAAACAACTTTAGTGTGCGGATTACAAGTGTGTGGGGTGATGTTTTACTGGTTCAAGAGCACGAGTTCAGTGCAGTCTGTCCCTTGATATTGTCACGTAAATACCGCTCGTTGGAGGAGTAATTTTATTTTTACGGTCAAGTGAAAACGTGCGGTATTACTATTTACGGGGAAATATTATTCTGGAGTAATTATTAGGTGAGTGAATTAAATAATAATTAATCTATCATTAGGACATTGAACAATTTTTCATTTTTCATTTTACATTTTGATGCATTTTGTTTTTTATTTATTAAACAACTGAAAATATCCGTAATTTTTAGTGAATGTTTTTCTTTATCAATTTTTCAGGCTATTTTTTCATTTAATGTTGGACAAATTTGGTTTAAATAGAATATTACAAAAATATTTGATAGAAAGTAAAATGAAATTTCAACCAAAGTTCGTATTTTATTTTGGGATAATTATTTCGTGAGTGGATTAAACAGTTATTTAATTATCATTGAGTTGTTGAACAATTTTTAATTTTACATTTTGTAACACTTTGTTTTTAATTTATTGAACACATTAACATACGCCGTTCATAACGACTTCATATTTTTATTACCCGTTGGGGATTTTAAATCGCTTCATGAAATCGCGTTAGCGGTTTAGTAAATGTTGAATAGTGAACCACGTGCGTACTCGGGGCACACGGAGAGCATAACAGTCTGCAGTTCGACTAGGAATAAACAGTATTTAAAACCGCGAATCATGAATTTTCATGGATAATAGTGGTGGACGAGACAGAATGGATAACAATGTTTTATCGAAAATGACAGGAACAGAAAAAAAATACTGTTGCCATAAAGTCTCAGATATTAGGAAATTAGAAAAATGTCGGAAATTTTGCGACGGAATGCAAAAGTTTTTTCTCTTCAACCGGCCACAGGAATTCTATTCTATTGCATTTCCATTGAATTAATATTGAAAATGCTGTCAATTTTTTTGTACAACTTATTCTATTGAGACATTTTCTACAGAAATTCCCCGAATTACCTAATTTTTTAATTCTTTTTTTTCGATTGAGAAACTAAAAAAAAGGAATGGAAAAAACTCGGAAAATTTATGTGGAAGAATTTCTGTAAAAAATGTGTTAATAGAAAAAGTTTTACATTTTTTCGATAAAGTAGTTTCCATTCTACATTTTTTTAAATTAAAAACGAAATAGGATTTTGGACAGAAATCCAAGGAAATTTCATGAATTTGCGGAGGTTTTCAGTAAAATATTGAATTTCTACTGAACTTCTATCAAAAATTCTATTAGTTTTCCATTAATTGTATTGAAAACGTCACATTTTCTGAGTGTGTTTTCAAATAGAAGTGCTCACGAAAATATTTTGCAGAAAAAAATCAATAGAATTTAATTTTTCTGTACAATTTATTCTATTGAGATATTTTCTACAGAAAATGTGTGAACAGAAAAAATTTTCCATTTTTTGATAAAGCAGTTTCCATTCTATTTTTTTTATTAAAAAAGGAATAGGATCTTGAATGGAATTCCAAGGAAATTTCATGAATTTGCGGAGGTTTTCAATAAAATATTGGATTTCTACTGAACGTCTATTGAAAATTCTATTAGTTTTCCATTAATTGTATTGAAAACGTCACATTTTCTGCGCGTGTTTTCAAATAGAAGTGTTCAATCGAAAAAATGTAGCAAAAAAAAATCAATAGAATTGAATTTTTCCGTACAATTTATTCCATTGACAGATTTCCTAAAGAAACCCCTCGAAAATTTAATTTTTCTAATAACTTAGAATATTTATGTCGAGTGATTCTCACAGAAAATGTCTCGACAGAAAAAAATGTGTAGAAAATTGTGTAGAAATTTCAATTGAACGTGTCCGTTGATTCTTCGACCTTGTGTAATGGGTGTGTGGACTTTTTGAATCGACATGAGAGGGAAATTAGAGGTCTTCATGTTAGCTATTGAGTTTTAACTGCGGGGTATGTAGGTATTGATTAATTCTCGGGGGGTATAGAACGATGAATCCGCTGTTTTAACATTTGTTATTCTTCGAATACGCAAGTTACGTAATTTTTATCGACTTTGAGATGATTTGTAATCGTTAATTTTTGGCCAGTGACTGGCCGGCGATACAGTAATGAATAAAAACATATTTTCATTTGCGTGAGAGATGCGGTTAATCAATCAATTATTTGATTAATTCATCTTAATTGATTTTTTATCTTTATATTTTATATATTTTTTATATTTATTTGTTTATATGTAATTTAACAGTATAAATTACATATAAACAAATGTTTGTGTGTTCAAAATAATTGCTCAGACGACGAGGAAAATTAACCAATTAATCTGAGCATTTTTTCTCCTCGCCTAGTTTTCACACGACATTGTACCATATTTACGCATTTTTTAATGTTCTGCGTCAATGCTCAAATGTCACGTGAATGGAAAAATGTCCGGGGTTAAGGTACAATTCAGTAGCGAAGTGATAGAACGATTTAAGTCTACTCATCTCGAAGTTGAGTTTCTTTAAAATTTATTTCGGTGAATTAATGTCTAATTTTTAATTCCGACTGAAGGTCTTCAACAGAACTAAGTGGAAATCCTGGAATTTGCGTATTAAAAAATTAGAGGAATCTCTGAAATTACCAAAGTCAAGTGATCACGCGTGCGCGTAATGAAAACAACTGCATCCGATGAAACATTCAGTTATTCAAAAATTAAAAGTGTACATCACTGAAATTTTCCGCTTCATGTCACTTCATCCTGTCCTTGATCTATCTGCATCGCCTCGAGATCTTGAAATGCCAGAATTATACGGAATCTCGCTCATCATTATTTTTTTACAGCACTTTCATTAGCATTTTGTTTATGAAAACTAAATCATCAGTTTTCAAGGAGCAACCCAACTTTTTGCCTTTCGAGCATGGAAATTAATCCGGAGAAAAATATTCAGATCTTCATTCAGATAAAAAAAGGAGACATCAACAAAAACTAGCAATGTTGCACGTGAATCCTCGCGATGGATGTTTCCTTTTTTGCGGCTGTCAAGCATGACGAAAAGAATATAAAATCATTTTGTCCGCTAAAAACTATTGTTAATTAATGTTAAATACTCAAAAATGGATTTCACGTCACAAACGTTCGCTCAAAATAAATAAAATTTTAAAGTTTTACCGGTAAAGTCCTCATTACGTGAACTATGTTCACAAAATAATTTTTAATTTTACAGTCTGCACGAGATTTATTTGACTACCAGAGTTATGCATTTCCTCGACGAATCCACTGGAATGTAAAAAAATTACACCCGTCATTCATCCTGCCTGTTTATTACGTTTTTTTCTCGAGTTGTATTTCTCCTTCGGCTCATTCTGCCGTTGAAAATGTCAAGTACAACAATTTGTTTAATTACCATTAGTCAGACGGCGGTTGTTGGGTAAAAGGAGGAGACTTGTTGCATAATGAGTGTAGCCTAGTGTTTACACGAAATGAATGATAAGCAAAGTGGTTATCTCGGTGTCATCGGAACTTTATGGATGTCATATTGCAGTTAAAATTTGGTGTTCCCCAATTTATCAATTGGCATTTATCGAATTGTTGAAAATTTATTTATTTTATAAGATTTTTTTTTATGAATTGATGTATTTATGAATCGCTGAGACTATCTCAGGACTCTGGCCATTTTTTGCGTTGAAATCCGCCTCGACATTCGTAATTGAACATCAGACTTCCTGTTCAAGTCCCATGAACATAAATTGCATGGAAAAAATTTGAAAAAATTCATACCCAGTCAGTATTACCTAAATTAAATTTCGCAAAATACTGATATTTTTTCAAACATTTCCCTCTTATAAATAAATAATAAAATTTGTTTGCAAAGCGGTGGATTATTTTTTATGAGGTGTCAAAAAAATTCTTGATTTTTTCGCATGTAATGAAAAAAAATTCAGATTTTAATCATTGATTACAATGGAAATGTTGATTTTCATATAACACATTGGGTTAAATCCTGATTTTTAAACATTTCTTCTTTGAGAAACCAAAACGATAATTAAATTGAGAACTATACTGACTAACTCTTGTTCTCATAACTTTTTCAGTCTCTCAACATTTGGTGCAACTCATTTAATTTCAGCATATATGGATATTGTTCTCTTTTGTTTTGTTTTAATAAATATTATCATCATCAGTAACCGACACCAAGCCTTCTCAGAAAAAAAATGTGAACGTTATGTACAGAAAAAGAAATTTATGTACTAAAGGAAATAAATTAGTTAATTAAATTGAGAAAAAAATTAGAATTCCGAATCTAATCGAGTTTTCTGCAATTTTTTGCAGTTTTCAAAAATCTTTGAATTTTCCGTAAGGGTAGAGCTACTTTAAATTTGTGACGAGAACGAAGATAATGATTTGGTCGTGTTTGGATAATCGAGAATTTTGAGTTCGCGTTTTATTGCATATTTGCTGAGGCCAAAGAAAAATCATTACAAATTTGATTCTCCTTTTTGCAGGATACACAGCCCCATTGCAGGGAGGAAGTCAATACAAATGCATTTTTTAATTTACACTAATGTTATGTTAGGTTATTTTTTTTAATGGAAACCTTTCAAATCAATTTTCAACAAAAACCGCGGAAACGGTCGAAGGCAGCTCATAAAAGACGTGATAATGGAGTTTTATTGCTATTATTATCATGCAATATTGTATTCCATCAATTTCGTTTGGTTTTTCAATGATGAATAGGTCGATTCCACCCAATTATTCATTTCGAACAGTTTTCAATGATGAAATAGTTAAATTGATGGAATAAAGCGAGTTGAATGGGTTGTAGACAGGGGAATAATTAAGTAAACTTGAAGAGAATTAATGAGAACGCGTAAAAATAGTTGTAAAAAATATTACTGCTGTCGTTATCATGCAATACTGTATTCTGGTGATTTCTTTGGTTTTTCAATGATTGATAGGTCTGAAATAATCAAATGGATTGTAGACAGAGGAATAACTAAATAAACTTGGAAAGAGTTAAAGAAAACTCGTAAGAATTGTAATCATAAAATATTATTGCTATCATTATCATGCAAACGAACATGTTCGAGAAATATCTTCGAATCTAAGGGAGATAGCGAAATTTTTGATAGAACCTTTTTTGTAGAGCCAATTGAGTACTACAAAAAAGATCATGACAAAAATTTCTCTATCTCCCTTACATTCCGAGATATTTATCGAAAACTCGCCAATGGTCAAAGTCGACTTGAACCGTTTTGCAGCTTCGCTGCTTAATTCATTCCGAATGATTCTTTAATCACTCAATGGGAGGCTTGAATGAATTAATCCACTCACTCAAGTGGATTGCAGACGGCTGAATAATTCAATAAACTTGGGAAGAGTCAAAGATAACTGATTTGGCGCGTTTGCCGTTATGTTGTTATATCGTGAAAACGGGTGATGCGCGGGAGTCGGCGAACTCAGGCTGATGGTTTGGTTTTGTATCCCCCTCAAGGTGTGTCAAGTACGGCTTAAATTTGCCGCCAGAAAGTGGGGTGATATTTCCCTCGAGCTCTATTGATTTCTGTTGGGCCAGGTTTCCCTCGACTGCATTTTTATTCCAAAGCCATCTGAGCGCTCACGCTCGTTTTACGGTTGTTAATTCGGTGTATTTTCACAAGTGCAATGGTCATCCTGCTGTACAAAGGTATGGAGATTGGTTTTGGGGGGAAGGGGTGGATTTTTGGTTTAAATGTGAAGTGGATTTTTCGGGGGTCGGGGAATTTTTGAGTGCCGGCGAGGAAATGCAATCGGGGGTGCGCAATGTTGGGGCGGAAGCCGCTGGAATGCCAGGGAATATTTACACTTCCATTATTCATATCTCGTTTCGCGATTGTTGGAAAATCGTGGGATCAATGACTGCGACATTTTCTGTTGTTGTTTTATTGCGAAGGGGGAATTAATTTCGATCGGTTCGGTGGGCGGTTTTATAGGAGTTCTGACTGCCAACGGAGGATTATTCTTTAATTTGTTAATAAAGATTGAATTGGGGAAATTTTTGCTCATTTAGTTTTGTCTGGTTTCAGCTTGACATTCGATTTTAAATTTTTCGTAGACATTTCAAATCAAACGTTGCTGTTATTGAAACTAAATTCTGAATTAAAACCTCGTATTGGAATTTTTTTGGGGTGAAGGGGTGGATTTTTGGTTTAAATGTGAAGTGGATTTTTCGGGGGTCGGGGAATTTTTGAGTGCCGGCGAGGAAATGCAATCGGGGGTGCGCAATGTTGGGGCGGAAGCCGCTGGAATGCCAGGGAATATTTACACTTCCATTATTCATATCTCGTTTCGCGATTGTTGGAAAATCGTGGGATCAATGACTGCGACATTTTCTGTTGTTGTTTTATTGCGAAGGGGGAATTAATTTCGATCGGTTCGGTGGGCGTTTTTATAGGAGTTCTAACTGCGAAAGGAGGATTATTCTTTAATTTGTTAATAAAGATTGAATTGGGGAAATTTTTGCTCATTTAGTTTTGTCTGGTTTCAGCTTGACATTCGATTTTAAATTTTTCGTAGACATTTCAAATCAAACGTTGCTGTTATTGAAACTAAATTCTGAATTAAAACCTCGTATTGGAATTTTTTTGGGGTGAAGGGGTGGATTTTTGGTTTAAATGTGAAGTGGATTTTTCGGGGGTCGGGGAATTTTTGAGTGCCGGCGAGGAAATGCAATCGGGGGTGCGCAATGTTGGGGCGGAAGCCGCTGGAATGCCAGGGAATATTTACACTTCCATTATTCATATCTCGTTTCGCGATTGTTGGAAAATCGTGGGATCAATGACTGCGACATTTTCTGTTGTTGTTTTATTGCGAAGGGGGAATTAATTTCGATCGGTTCGGTGGGCGTTTTTATAGGAGTTCTAACTGCGAAAGGAGGATTATTCTTTAATCCGGTAATGAAGATTGAATTGGGGAAATTTTTATTCAGTTTCAGCTTGACATCCCATTTTAAACTTTTGGTAAACATTTCGAATGTCATAAAAAAAATAACATGAAATGAATGAATGAATAGTTCGAAAAGTATTTTTTATTAACGAGGATATTATTATTATTATTATTATTATTATTATTATTATTATTATTATATATTAATATTAATATTAAAATCTCTGCAAGACGAATATTTTTCTACTCGGGTTATTATTGAAAATTAAAACTTTATTTATCAATGATTGATGATAAGTAAATTTCCCATTTATTTATTTGTTATTTACGTTCAAAATTTGTTCAGAAATCAATGTCATGACAGGAATACGGTTTTCGGGGAAAAAAATCATTATTCATTTATCCTAAAGTTAGAAAGTTTTCCACAGAATGTTTGGAAAATAACTACAAATTATTTATAATTTATTTAAAATCCTCCTCATGCGATTGAATTTAAAATTTTTATGACAATCATTAGTTGAATCAGCTTAATATCAAATTCGGGATTAAAATTCATGATCTCCGATGATTTTTGTTGCTTGGATGTCTCTTCCTGGAGTGATCTGTCCATTCTTGTACTGCTTCGCGCATTAATTGTGATCGCAAAGGACCTTTGACCATCGCACGATTAAAATGTTTGGTTTGGAGAAGTTATGTGTACAATTTATCGCAAATTAATTTTAGTGACGTGGGTAGCTCGAACATTGTTTAGGTCTGAGAGAGATGAGGTCACGGATCATCGCGATTCCATAAGGGGAAATAATTGCTATTTATAGGCTTTCTCTACCGTACGATATGATGATAGCACTTGAGATGGTCGTGATGAAGGCCGATAAGACGATTTCATTTGGTTTTTTCTAGATAACATGTCGGCGGTGCAGCCACTGTCCAACGGACTCCTCAATGGGTTCGCTCACGACGAGAAGGTGAGGATAAAGCGTTTTTTCATTTTTAATGAATTCAATTAAATTTTCTGTAAATTAAATTGAGTTCAATTTATGCATTCCCGAATTTTTTATGACGTCGTGATTTATTCTCATTATGTAAAAGGCCGAAAGGTCGTGCATGTCTGAATAAAAAATAAATGAATGATTTATTCTCGTCAACTTGAGATTTAGCAATTTTTTTTCTTCAGGTGCTTCCCACGGGGGACGACGATGGCTATTTGTCACCGAGTCCAACAGGAAGGGATGGTAAATATATAGAATCATAAATAACTGTCGATGGCTACAATTTGATTAATTTTTTTGTCAGTGTGTGATCATTAATTCACGTGTGAAATTATTGGACAGAAAAACCTAACACTTCTTCTAAGGCATTTCAATTAATTCCTCTTGGAGTTTTATTGGAATTCTATTGGAAAACTATTTATTTTTTGCGCCAATTATTTTGATTTTTCTGTGTGACTTATTTTGTTGTGGATTTTTCATAAGAATTCTTGGGCATGAATCCTCATTTTTTTTCTCAGGTTTTGTTATGAGAAGCAAATAAAAATATAGCGGGGAAAACTTGAAAAATTTATGGCTAGAAGTTCTGTAGATAAATCAACCTCTGGCAAATATTTCTTTAAAAAAAAATTTAACAGAATTTTAATAGAAATTCAATAGAATTTCTTGAAGTTAACTCCAGATTGTTCAATTGAATTTCCTCGCATCTTTGTTAAGTGAATAAATCAATTAAATTCAAAATAAAATAAATTCAATTGAATTTCCTCACATCTTTTTTAATTGAATAAAAACCTCTAGGGCCCGATCAAATCCTCCCAGCGGACGTGGACACAACTCACGAGCCGAATGGACGAGTCAGGATAAAAAAAAATCCGGAGGATGGGCGATCTGACATTATATCAGTGCCTGGTCTGCTGATGAGGGTGGCCAAGAAATGGCCGGATCGTCCCGCTCTAGTGACATGTCCCCAAGTCGACGGCACACGTAAAACGTGGACGTACAGGTATTGAAAACAATTGGGCAATTGTTCCTGATTTGCGTATGGTATAGTTATTTTTGCTAATAAATTAGGAATATGCTTCCGAATGGTCATTTTGCTTTTTTCGCATTGTATATTATTCATAGCCTATTTTATTTTCTTGAATTGAATTAATTTCGTTCTAATTGTTTTAGATTTTCCACTTAATGAAAGTCTAAAAATTTCTAAAAATTTCGACGAAATATTATTAGGAATATTTCATTTATACATAATTGAATGCATTTGAAACATCACACCCAAAGGAACCATCGGAAAGCTAACTTTCAGGGGAATTCATGAAAAATTCGAAATTTCCACAAATTATCCTAAAAATTAAATTAACCGAGACAGTTATTGTAACCATCTTTTATTAAGCTATGATTGAATTCATTTGAAGCGCGATATCCAGAGATATCTGCGGAATTCTGGTTTTCGAAAAATACTAAATTTTGGAAAAATTTCACAGAAATCGAAATAACGATTATTGCTATCGCGTTCATCTTCGAACTCGGTCAAAAGGACATCCCAACGAATTTTTTAAGGCGTCATTCAATGAATTTAGAACATTTTTTTACTTATCGTGTTACAACTGAATTTTGAAAGAAATCGAAAATGAAAAATGAATCAATGAATTAAATTTTAATTGATGGCGGTGGATAGGGCTTGGCAATACCTACATTTGAGAAAAAAAGTGAGTCAATTCCATCTGTGCATTAGCGAGAAATTGACACCGTCTAAAAGATGCATTTTCGGACTTTTGGGATCATAATGGGTCGACATAACACAAAAAATCCAAAACTTAAATTTGAACGATTACAATGCTTCCATTCGGAAGCAAAAATCGAGTGGAATATTCTCTCATTATAAAAAGTCATAATACTATACTTTTCAGGGAGTACGAACGAGATGTAAGCACAGTCGCCAAGGCATTTTTGAAGTTGGGATTGCAGAGACATCACAGTGTTGCAATTTTGGGATTCAACAGCCCCCAGTGGTTCATCGCAGACATGGCTGCTATTTACGCAGGGTATTTATTTTCGCATGTGATAAAAAAACATTGGACCTGTGATAAAAAAATAATTTCAGTCTTAAAAACATCTGAAAAGAAAAACAGTAATTAAATTTTTCAAACAAGAAATAAATGAATAATTTTCATATTTTTATAACAATCATCGTTTTTATATTTTTATAATTTCTCTATTTCCTCATTAGACTTTTCATTCGAGACTTTGGAATATTATGCTGAGAAAATTCTCATTTACGTAGAGATAAACCGGTTTTTAATTTTCCAGTTCATATTCTCAAATTAAATATAAGGATTCTTAATTATTGATTTATGAACAATTGCAGGGGTTTCGCTGCTGGAATTTACACGACAAATTCTTCAGACGCTTGTCAGTACTGTGCTGACCACAGTCGTGCTAATATAATTGTCGTCGAGGACCACAAGCAGTTGGAAAAAATATTGAGCATCAAGCACAGTTTGCCGCATTTGAAGGCAATTATTCAGTACGAGGGGATACCAAAAGATAAAAGTGTACTGAGTGTAAGTTTCCTGTGATTTCTGCAATCTCTTTCGATTAGAATTGAATAATTGACTTCACTGATTAATTACATAATAATTAATTGAATCGATTAATTACGCGTCCATTTGATTCATTGGGTAAATTATTTAATGAATCAGTCCAACTGATTTAATTAAATAAATTAATCTGTTAAATTGAATAAATCTTAGTGAATTGTCACTGCATCAATAATTCATCATCAATCATTCGTATTTCAGTGGAATGATTTGCTTGAGCTTGGAAAATCCGAATCTGACGACAAATTGGAAGGAGTATTGAAGACACTTTGCGTCAATGAATGCTGCACTCTAGTCTACACGGTACCACACAATTCCCTAATAATCTATTGAACACCTGTCACAATATTCAATGAAAATTAATCACTGGGTATTCTGTTGTCAGTCAGGTACTGTTGGTCGTCCCAAAGCTGTGATGCTGAGTCACGATAATTTGATTCATGACTCAATGTTGATCAGAGATGCGTTACCAAAGTCCAATGGAGTAGAGACTGTCGTCAGCTATTTGCCTCTCTCTCACGTTGCTGCACAGGTAATAATTAGCTCTTCATGACATAACAATTGAACTTGATATGGATGGGAGTCTGATTCAAGTGTTATCGAATGAGGAATTACCATTTTTTTATTCTCACTCGTATTTTTCTATTGTGGAACGAAGTATCATTATAAACATTGGAATTGGAATTGGAAAAATTTAGTCAATTTCATTGGCCTGTTTTACGAGATTTTTCCCCTGTTCAAATCATTGTTTATTCATGTTTGGTTTATTCTTCTTATTTCTCAATTTTTTTTTCACTCTCCAGTGTTTTTTAATAATGCAAAACTATTGTATTTAATAATAAATTAAAAAATGGTTTACTTTATCCATTTACTTTTTGTGATTTTTTTACTTTTCGTTTTTTTTCACACATAATATTTCATGTTATGTTATTATTCTCTTTGTAAATAGCCACTGATAACTTTTAAAAAACAATAAAAAATGAGAACTAGAAAAATGAAGAAATACAAAAAATCGTTTCGTCCGTTAATTTCAGGTAATTGAAATATTCGCGAGTCTGTGGATGGAAGCGACTGTCTACTTCGCTGACAGAAATGCATTGAAGGGTAATTTGGTGGAGACCCTGGCGTACGCGAGGCCCACAGCATTCCTCGGTGTGCCCAGAGTCTGGGAGAAAATCTACGAGAAGATGATGATGGTGGCTCGCAGCAATGGGCCCATTAAAACCTGGATTGCAACGTGGGCGAAGGCCCAGGGCCTCAACTACAACATGAACAAGATGAACGGAGTCGATTACAAGAGTTGGGGGTACTTGATCGCCAAGTGGCTGGTGTTTAATAAGATCAAAGCCACACTGGGCTTGGACAGGTGCAGGATTTTCGTCACAGCTGCTGCGCCACTCAGTATTGAGATTAAAAAGTATTTTATGAGCCTCGATATACCTCTTATGGATGCTTTCGGCATGTCTGAGTGCGCTGGGGCTCATACGTTGTGTTTGAATGACCATTACAGGTACTTTTGACTGTGATTTTGTCGAAAAACATAGCGAGTTGGATGAAAAATTCCAGCAGATTTTTATTGAACTTCTAGTGAAAATTCTGTTGGTTTTTCGCCAATTCTATTTTTTTATAGAGAATGGAACAGAGAAGCTATTTTTTAGAAAAAATCAGGAGAGCTTTATCTTTCTTTATGACTTTTTATATTGAGACATTTTCTGTGGAAATTCCTTCTCGGTATTGAGATTGAAGAGGACTTTAAGAGCCTCGATTTTGCTGGAAAATAGAGCGAAAATTCTATTATCTTTTTTGCTAATTCTATTATTTGAAAAAAAAAGAGAATAAATCAATAAATAAATAAAATTAATTTATTTATTTAGTTTGTTTATTTATTTTTGTATTTATTTATTTATTTGAAATTTAAATAAATAAAAAATTTTTGTAGATTGGGAAGTGTTGGGAGAACTTTGAAGGGCTGTAAGACGAAATTGGATAATCCTGATGAGACAGGAGAGGGTGAGATATGCATGCTTGGTCGACACGTCTTTATGGGATACATGGGGGAACCGGAGAAGACGAGGGAAGCTAAGGATGACCAGAATTGGCTGCACAGCGGGGATTTGGGAAGGCTCGATGGTCAAGGATATCTGTTCATCACTGGTGAGTTTAATTATCTCTCACTCAAGAGATGAATTATCTCCAAACGACCCTCACATTTTCTGGAATAAAAAAATTACTCTGGAATTAGGCAATTTGATTTGTTTTTTATTCTTATTTTTTTATGGTTTAACGTGGGGTATTCTTTGACATATTATTGAAAAATTGGGAATTGTTTACTCAATTATGATGAAAATATATTTGTCTTACAGGGAGAATAAAGGAATTGATCATCACTGCTGGCGGTGAGAATATTCCCCCTGTCCAGATTGAACAGGCACTATTGAAGGAATTACCAGCGCTGAATAATGCAATGCTCATTGGCGACATGAGGAAATATCTGACGATATTGGTGACCCTCAAGGTTCGTTCATCATCTCTTGATCTTTTTCTTGTATTTTATCGTGAGAAACAAATCAAATTAAATCATTTATGCCGAATTGTTTAACACAATCCAACTCTATTTCAGTGAAAATTATTGAGATTCATAATTTTCATGTAGAATTTTTATATTAATACCCACAGACGGACATGGATTTTGAGACTGGTGGCCCCCTGGACACGCTGTTTCCCTCAACAAGATCTTGGGCGAAGTCAATCGGCAGTAAAGCCACAACAGTCTCCGAAATAATTCGCACACGAGATCCCGCAATCTACAACGCCATTGAGAAAGCAATAGAGCGAATGAATCTTCATGCAACGAGTAATGCTCAGAGAGTCCAGAAATTCACGATTCTCCCTCACGACTTCTCCATTCCCACTGGAGAACTGGGCCCCACTCTGAAGCTGAAGAGGAGCGCTGTCATTAAACAATATGGGGATCTCATTGAGGAGATGTACAAGTAATGGATTAATGAAAATTAATTATCGTATAATCGCATAATCAGCTCACGTGGTGGAAGATATCGGATTTAGGTGGGGTACTTTGGCCTAGTGTCTGCAATTCATGCCCAAGGAACAGCCAAAAATTATTATTTAATTGTCTATTAGGGGTTAATTTGTTTCCAACGACTGAGGCGTTTGGTTTTTCGTCGTGCAGAAAAAGATTTCATTGAAAAATGACACTCCAATGGACTTCTATTAGTTTTCAATGGAAATGTTGGATTGAGAATATTTATTAGAATAAACCAATAGAATTGGATTTTTCTATGCAACTCACGGAGTCGTTGAATTAGAATAGCTTTTCGTACTGTGTAAATTGCTGAGGAGAGGTGTAAATACAGGGAATATTTTGTAATTCTCTGAACCATCGAGATGTATGGCAAAAACACGAGAAGTATGGTCCTGTCTTTTTACTGTAAATGAAAAATCGCAGATGTTTTTTTGAAAAATTATGATTTTTGGCGAATGAATACTTAAGTAATAACACTAAGAAAGTGCCTTTCAACAGATGAATGACGAAAATTGTTGACGAATTGTGCCGAGTTTAATTATACCGAGAATTGACTAGAATTAATTTATTAATTCATGGTGAAGGTACTTATCCCATTGAATTGAGGGGAAAATGAATGAAGGGAGAATTTTCGTTACTTTCAGGTTGGTTAAATAATTGATGGAATGTGATATATGTATTTACCATTAATTATTTGAGTAATGATGCATAACGTCCGAGTGAAGATCACAATATCTAACGTGAATACGTCGCAATTGAGGTGCATATGGAATATCTTGTAGGTAATTATGGTTTTGCAGTAGAAAAATTGAGACAATTATATCGATAGGGTGACAATAAACACGATTTATGTTCTTGGTTTATTTTAATTTAGTGGAGGTAACAGGCACTTTTTGTATTTGCCATAATCGAGCGGTGAAAAGTTGTGTATAATGTAATATTTATAATAAAAGCCATGCAACAAGGTTTTCTTTCTTAATCATTTATTCATTACACGAGCCATTTGCTGAGACCTCAACTGGCTAATTTCTCATATAAAAATAAATATGAATTTTGAGGGGGAGACAGATGTTGGGAGAAAAGAGTGCATTATTTCTTCTTCAATTATTCGGTGTATATTACTAAAATTTTTGTTCAGTTGATTTTATTCATTTTTACAGTATCTCAGGCTGCATTTTCCACTCCTTTTTTTGTATTCTTATGTTAGTGGCTAGATGATACAGATTTTAACAACAATCTGACTCGTTTTTTTTCAACAAGAAAAATATTCTAAGCAAATCACAGCGATTGGTAAAATGCAGATCTATTAATTTTCTATTTTCAATTTGTTTGAATAATTCATTCTGTCAGCAGAGAAAAATAATTCGACCGAATCAATGATTGTTATTCTAGATGACTGATGTAAAATATTGGGGAAACACTCATGAGGGGAAAATAATTATTTAGTATTTAAAAATTTTACAAGTACACTTTCAACCACTGGATTAATTCTAACGTCCAGCATTTTCCTACTCTCACTGAGGAACAAAATTAATTACTTAATTACATTACAATAAAAAAAAGATCCTCTCATTCGTGGACATGAATATGCGACGTATAAATACAATTAATTTGTTGAAATCGTGTTCCACGACCAATTGATTACCAATAATTAGAAATCGATTCGCTCTACTTCTCATGTGGTTCAGGCGTTCGATCGAGCATTCTTGAATTATCTCGGATATATATCGAATTAACTATCGAATCATAATAAATTGTCCTCACGATGATAATCATCAGTGCTGATGTTTTACGAAGTAGTCGATGTGTTGAATTTCTGTTGGATTATCGATGTTTTACGCTGGGGGACTGTCTCTGGAGTTGGAATGGCATCACCAGTGGAGCAAACACCCAGTGGCCCTGGGGGTTTTGGTTTTGCTGTGGATTTTTGCTTTGCCATTTGGTAGTCACCTGAATCGAAGAATTTTTGCTGCAGGGGAATTTTAAAAATTCATTAGTTGAGTGATTATAATTTTTTCTGAAGATATAAAGCACATCTGCGCTTTTTTGGAAGATAGTCAAGTCGATTGAGATTTTTCATTGTTTTCTTCATTAATTTAATTGAGTTCTTCGTGAATTAATTTATTTGCAGATTTCGGAATAATCTAGAGAGGAAGTGTGACAGTAGTTTGAAAATGATGGTTAAATAATTGTTTGTTTTTAAAATAATCTGGTTGTCCATTTTACGCAATTCTCTGTTCAATTTGAGGTCAATTTGACGTGAAGTAACGTTTATTGTACCGTAATTGAGGTATTGTCAACTATATTCCTATTTATCTAGTGAAATTATTCAAAGTTAATGTCAACTTACTTCAACTACTTTAAAAACAAGTGTTATCTGAGAAAACCCTCTCAAGTTGATTAAGAAATGTCCCAATGAACAATAAAGCTCATTCACTCAAAAATATGACGAAAATTGTGACTAATCCTCAACAACCCCAACAATCAATAATTAATGTTGACCCAATCAATAAGTTTCAGTTGCTTTACATTCACCTGACCTTGAAAAATGCTAGTCAAGTACAATGCAACATCAATCCCCTCAAAATAAAAATCCCAAAGCGAATTATCAATAAATTAAATTACCCCCTTGGCCAGTCTTTTCTGGAGGAACGCCGAGTGTCCACTGATTGGCCGACCCCCTGCATTTGGAAATTTGGCCTTGAGTTTCGCCTCCTCCAGCTTCTCAATGGCATTTGACGATAACTAAACAACAAAAAAATGAAAACAAAGTGACATCACTGAAATAATTCAGAATGAGCCTAAACACAGGAACTTTGTGCTTTGAAAAATCGACAATTGGAGCGAATTGTGGGGTTAAAAATGGAGCGGAGTAGTTGATCCCCGAGTCATGTGACGAATGGTGATAATAAAATAATTTCTGGGGTTATCACCTCGGGAACTTGAGGTGGTTCCATGGTCGTCTGCTCGTCGCTCATTTTTGCTCGTTTAGGCGTAATGTTGCTTTCAATGAGTACACGCTTGACACCAGTCACCCTCGGCAGTCACCTATCAAAGCCTCCGAAATCGTATGACATGGAGATGGCGGTTAAAATCAGTTGCACTGAAGCCCGTATTTGTCGATGTCTCAGCGCCGATGAGAATGAAATCTCGTTAAATTAATTAACACGCTGTTGCTGATAATTCAACGGCAATTATCGGTTTTACGTTGTTGGAGGTGAATCGTTTGGATAACGAACGAGGAAATAATCAGGGAATTGTCAACAATGAAGGGAATATCGAGGAATGAGGGAGAGCGGGCGTTCATGCACGTCATATGGGTGAAAGTTACTAGAAGTTCGTCGCCAAAACTGGGGAAATAAAAGTTCTAGGGAGTTTTGGGGGTGATTCAGCGAAATGATGAGGTGAATGATGAATTTATTGTTGTTAATTTGAAAAGAGGTGTTTGGAAGTTGAGGGAATGTGCAAAGAGGGGCGGGAGGGGTGAGGAAACGTCATTTTTCGAGGAAAAGAGGGTTGTCTAGGGGAGGGGGGAGCTTTTCGCTGTGGTAGGACTGGTCCGGCGATTTAAACTCTCCGGATGCTCCGAAATCGTTGGGGTTCAGCTGGGTCTCCTCTGCAACATGAGAAACATGGATTCAACGAGAAAGGTGAGGATTTATTGTTGTATGGACCTGAGAGGTGCTATTTTATTGAATACTCCGGAAAGTAGCCTATTAGTTTGTAACGATACGTGTGGAAATGTCGATGAAACCCATCGTTGTTAACAATTTCAATATTTTTTAGCAGAAATTTCAGGAATGATTTTTGTACACAAATTAGTCCATAAGAAAGGCAATTAGAGAATATGAAATTAAGAGGAAACAAAAGTACAGAATGAGAAATAAAATAACACCATGAGAGAATTAAGAAGAATATTTAAAAAATTCACTTCTTTAATAAATTAATTGATTAACTCCTCGCACTTTTATGACTCTCAAAGTACAAAAATTGAGATAAAACAGAAATATAGAATAAAAAATAAAATAACACCATAAGAGTATTTCAAAGACTAGGGGAGGTTGGGGTAAAACGGACACTTGATTTTTTTTTAATGTCAATGAGGGGTTGAAATGTTGATAAAATTTAATAATTTTTTTTTTCAATACAAAGAACAATTCATTCCCTTTGTGACGAGCCTAAATTGAGCACAATTGATCAATTTGTTTCTGAGTTATGAATAATTTTAAAAAAGTCTAAAGTGTCCGTTTTGCCTCACCGGTGACCGGCCAATCGATCAGGGCCTTTTTATCACAATCAAAATAATCACGGCAAAAATATCACAAACCAAAATATCATTCAAAAATATCATTTTTAAATACCATTTTTAATGATGAAATATCATTTTTGTTTGTGATATTTTTGACGTGATTTTTTTGTCGTGATATTTTTGTCCGTGATAAAAAGTACTGTAACCGCCTCACCCTCCCCTACTAAGCAAAAATACTAGCAAATAATTCACCCCTTCAATAGATTAATTAATAAACTCCTCGCCCTCTTATCACTCCCCAGATGAACTGGCACTCGTCCACAATCTCCCTGAACGCGAGTTCGATAACAGGTAGTCAAACGAGTACCAGAAGTGCGTACCGTCCACGGGATCCCCTGCAAATCCGTCAAGCCGACGAGACAAAAGAGAAACTGGAGCCCCTGATGAAGGGGATTCACGAGACATCAGCGGAGAACAACGCGTTCATCAAAGACTCGATGGCTCTCCTGAAGGCCCTGGACATCGAGCCGAGAGGACTCTCGCCAGAGACGACTGACCGCCTGGACAAAGTGTCGCTGATCCTGAAAACCGAGAACCTGGCGTCCCCTGACGAAACCCTACTAACGATATCTCGTAACAGAAGGCGACTCGATGGCATTCAGACATCGAGGATTGACAGAAACCTGAAGAGGAAGTACGAGGACCTGTGCAGTCGTTACGCGAGGCTCGAGGAGAAGGTGAATAACGCCCAGGAGCGGGTGAATTTCATAACTGATTTTGTCGACTCGGCACGAGAATGCAATGAGAGGGAATACTCCGAGATTATCCACAAGGCGACGAAGTTGAACGAGTACAGAGAGACTGCTCGTAATCTGGAGAATGAGCTTGCTAGGCTCGATGTGGCTGACGTCTATCCTGACAGGATTCTGGAGAAGTACAGTTACTACTTGGGGGCCACTGGGGAGCTGGCAGAGTTGAATAAAATTGTCAATCAGTATGGAGAGCTGCCTGCTGACATTCTGCAGGCCAAGGCTGCTGTCGAGCAGAAGGAGAAACGACGTCTCGAGGTGAAAAATTTGTTGGACGAGAGGATGATGAAGTAGGATGATGAGTGCATTCTTGAGGTTTAACTTGATGAGACAATAAGTTTGTAGTTTAGGGAATAAAATGGTAAGTTTTGATAAAAATGAGGAAGATGAGGGACTTTACTAAAGAATTAATCATTAATCATCCTTAAGGGGGTTATTTCGACGTGAAAAATTTGTTGGATGAGAGAATGATGAAATAGGATGAGTGCATTCTTGAGGTTTAATTTAATGAGACAATTAGTTTGTAGTTTAGGGAATAAAATGGTAAGTTTTGATAAAAATAAGGAAGATGATGGACTTTACTAAAGAGTTAATCATTAATCATCCTTAAGCGGGTTATTTCGACGTGAAAAATTTGTTGGATGAGAGAATGATGAAATAGGATGAGTGCATTCTTGAGGTTCAATTTGATGAGACAATTAGTTTGTAGTTTAGGGAATAAAATGGTAAGTTTTGATAAAAATGAGGAAGATGAGGGACTTTACTGAAGAATTAAGCATTAATCATCCTCACGAGGGGTATTTCGACGCGAAAAATTTGTTGGATGAGAGGATGATGAAATAGGATGAGTGCATTCTTGAGGTTTAATTTAATGAGACAATTAGTTTGTAGTTTAGGGAATAAAATGGTAATTTTTGATAAAAATGAGGAAGATGAGGGACTTTACTGAAGAATTAAGCATTAATCATCCTCACGAGGGGTATTTCGACGCGAAAAATTTGTTGGATGAGAGGATGATGAAATAGGATGATGAGTGCATTCTTGAGGTTTAATTTAATGAGACAATTAGTTTGTAGTTTAGGGAATAAAATGGTAACTTTTGATAAAAATGAGGAAGATGAGGGACTTTACTGAAGAATTAAGCATTAATGATCCTCACGAGGGGTATTTCGACGTGAAAAATTTGTTGGATGAGAGAATGATGAGATAGGATGAGTGCATTCTTGAGGTTTAATTTAATGAGACAATTAGTTTGTAGTTTAGGGAATAAAATGGTAACTTTTGATAAAAATGAGGAAGATGAGGGACTTTACTAAAGAGTTAATCATTAATCATCCTTAAAGGGGTTATTTCGACGTGAAAAATTTGTTGGATGAGAGGATGATGAAGTAGGATGATGAGTGCATTCTTGAGGTTTAATTTAATGAGACAATTAGTTTGTAATTTATGAAATAAAATGGTAAGTTTTGATAAAAATGAGGAAGATGAGGGACTTTACTAAAGAATTAATCATTAATCATCCTTAAGGGGGTTATTTCGACGCGAAAAATTTGTTGGATGAGAGGATGATGAAATAGGATGATGAGTGCATTCTTGAGGTTTAATTTAATGAGACAATTAGTTTGTAATTTATGAAATAAAATGGTAACGCCGTAAAAATTCCACTTTCATCAATCAAAAATATTATTCATACAAAACGAAGAATAATCTACAGTTGTTTACCCAATAATCGTATTCACAATATCAAAATCCATATTTAGATTTCGTTTGTTTCCTAGCCATTCTGTTCGCAGCCCATTGATTCTGCAGCTCGATCTCCATGGCTTTGGCTTGATGCGCCAAGTAGGTGATTTGGTGCTTCTTCTTGGAGGCACTGCTGGGCCCAGCACTGGACAGAGACACTGTCCTCTGCACCGGCTCCTCCGTCAACGCCTTCACCAGCCACTCCCTCTCGTCCGGCTTTATGTCGTCCCCACTGATGTCGATGATATTCGTCCCCTGGATGAGTTCGTTCTTCCTTTTTATCCCTCGTTTCCCGCAGAGATACTCGATTGCTTTCTCGTCGAAGGCCACATTACCCTCGGCATCCAGGTGATACTCCTGCTCAGGTACTGGTAGTTTGGGGCCCACTTCCGCCTGATTCTTCAGGAGAATCTCGTCTCGGGGGAGGTTCATCACTGTGCTCCTCAGGGTCTGAGTCTCCTCAGCTCTTGGGGACATTTCTGGGGGGGTTTTGCTGGAATTTTGGGGGGAATCTCTCTCTGGGGGCGGAGGCAGCATGAGGGATGCCATCGCCTCCTCAGGCACTGGTATTTCCACTGATTTCGATAATGAGAAAAAGTCCGGGTTCTTCTGGGGCACTGAGTGCCTCTCGTCTTCTTCGTCCTCGGAGTTTGAGTCGTATTTTAGGGAATTCAGGGCAGAGGCTTTCACTGGCTCCGGCTTTTTCACGGGCTTTCGGAGCTGCGAGGGCGTCAGGGGGGGCCCTGGGTTCTCGGACTTTCTGAGAACGTGGGGGACGAGATTCTTGGCGCTTGGGAGGGACGCCCCGGGGGCTGGGAGCATACTGAAGAGACCACTTCCACTCTGGAATTCAGGAAAAGAAATTTTTGGTACGAGTCAGGGTGAAGAGGAGTACATTTGCATTTGTTCTTATCTTGATATTGGCGGAGGGAGATTCAACAATTTTGGGGGATCAACTGAATGTTGATAGATTTTTTTCGTTCATTTTTTGAGGAAATTTTAGATTTGTGCTAGAATATTCAGAGTTGCGGTGCTTCATTTCTTGTGAATTAATCTTTGTTTTAAATTAAATTCGTCAGAGTAATTTTTGATTAATTTAGGAAGATGTTTACTCACAGATGAAGGCTGTTTCCTCGTCTTCCTCTCCTCCATCTCCTCGTCGACATCTTTGAACTGAAATAAATGGTAAATGTGAATTAATATCAAATAATAATAGATGAATCAATGATAAATTGACAATTAGGGATAAATTAATTCAGTACTGGAGAAGTGGAAATTTCTCTTCAGATTTTTTTCAACTCACGTCAGATAGAGATGGAACTAGAAACTTCACAGGGGCTTTCTCCCTCTTCTGAGGGAGTTCTGTGGGCATTTGAGGGCTTCTGGTCACAGGAACTTCATCATCTTCCTCTAGAGTAGCTCGACAGCTCCTCGGTTTGGGTAGAGAATTGAATAACGAAGGTTCAGGGAGACTTTCGTCCCCTCTGGACTCCTTTCCCTGGATTTTATCCACCACTTCTGGCAGAGGCTGTTCACTTACTCTCGACTGCCTCCCATTGTTTGTTATTATTTTTGGAGTGTCTGAGGGGTTTTGTTCGTCGGACGTAACCTCATCTTCACTCTCGTCACTGCTGCCGTAAGCTACTAGACCTCCCAGGCTCATCCCGAGGATTTTTTAACGAATACGAGAATTTTTTCGAAGAAAAAAATTAATTTCAGTGGAATTTCCCGTTTTTTGGGTTAATTTATGTTTAAAATCGCGTGGAAAGTGTTGAAATCATTGGGATGACATTTTACCAACAAAAATTGTCAACAAACTCACGAGGAAATCTCGAGGGGGTGAGCGCATGCGCAATGATGCGCAATATGGCGGCCAGTGCTTGAGCGTTTGACTTTTGTCTGCGGTTTTTTGGAGAAAACGAGGGGAAAATCAGTGGAAAAAACATCAGTCACGCAGTAATTAATTGATTACAATGGGCGGTAATAATTTGAAGGCGAAATTGGAGCTTATTGTGGAGTATTATATACGGAAAACATGTAAAAACTTCGGAGGGAAAAAAATCTCCAGTCCCGTGCGCAGCTCCTCCGCGCATACCCAATATGGCGGCCGACGTTGGCACTGAACGACGAGTTTGGCGTTCGCTCTTGGTTTTTTGGAGGAAAAAACGGGTAAAATTGACGAAATAATTACTAATAATGCCATAATTAATTGATAATAGTGGTTTGTAATGATGTCATAATGAAATTGGTGTTCAGTATGAGTTATTACAACCGCTAAACATGTAAAAACGTCGTCTGAAAAAAATCTTGTCCCTTGCGCAGCTCTCCTCCAAAAAAGACAAAGTCGACAAAATAATCATTAATAATTCAATAATTAATTAATGAGATGGACAGTAATTAGTTAATCACCAAGTTGGTGTTTATTACGGAGCATTACAAGCGCTAAACATGAAAAAAGTTCACAAGAAAAATTGTCAGTCCTGTGCGCAGCTCCTCCGCGCATGTCCAATATGGCGACTGGCCTTTGGCACTGAACAACGGGTTTGGCGTTGGCTCTTCGTTTTTTTGAGGAAAAAGAGTAAAATCGTCGAAATAATCAGTAATAATGCAGTAATTAATTAACGAAATGGACAGTAATTAATTAATCATCAAATTGGTGTTTATTGCGGAGCATTACAAGCGCTAAACATGAAAAAAGTTCACAAGAAAAATTGTCAGCCCTGTGCGCAACTCCTCAGCGCATGTCCAATATGGCGGCCGGTGTTTGGCACTGATCGACGGGCTTGGCGTTCGCTCTTGGTTTTTTGGAGGAAAAACGGGTAAAATTGACTAAATAATCGCTAATAATGCAATAATTAATTAACGAAATGGCCAGTAACGAATTAATCACCAAATTGGTGTTTATTACGGAGCATTACAAGCGCTAAACATGAAAAAAGTTCACAAGAAAAATTGGCAGTCCTGTGCGCAACTCCTCAGCGCATGTCCAATATGGCGGCCGGTGTTTGGCACTGATCGACGGGCTTGGCGTTCGCTCTTGGTTTTTTGGAGGAAAAACGGGTAAAATTGACTAAATAATCGCTAATAATGCAATAATTAATTAACGAAATGGCCAGTAACGAATTAATCACCAAATTGGTGTTTATTACGGAGCATTACAAGCGCTAAACATGAAAAAAGTTCACAAGAAAAATTGTCAGCCCTGTGCGCAACTCCTCAGCGCATGTCCAATATGGCGGCCGGTGTTTGGCACTGATCGACGGGCTTGGCGTTCGCTCTTGGTTTTTTGGAGGAAAAACGGGTAAAATTGACTAAATAATCGCTAATAATGCAATAATTAATTAACGAAATGGCCAGTAACGAATTAATCACCAAATTGGTGTTTATTACGGAGCATTACAAGCGCTAAACATGAAAAAAGTTCACAAGAAAAATTGGCAGTCCTGTGCGCAACTCCTCAGCGCATGTCCAATATGGCGGCCGGTGTTTGGCACTGATCGACGGGCTTGGCGTTCGCTCTTGGTTTTTTGGAGGAAAAACGGGTAAAATTGACTAAATAATCATTAATAATGCTATAATTAATTAATCATGATGGATGACAACGATTTTACGATGGAATTGGCGGCTACTCTGGTGTTTTACCGATAACGATATGAAAATAACGAAAATAACGAAATAACGATATGAAAGTTGTGGACGTCCAAATTCTCTCATCTCTGCTTGATCGACGTCTTTGTGACGTTGCAAGATGGCGCCTGCTGTGTCATTCTGGACAAGGGACAATTGTTTAGAACATTTTGACGTGTTTATTGACTAAAATTATTAATTAAATTTAATTAATTAAACAATGAGTAACCGTGGAACGTGTGGCAAAAATGGACATGGAGGACTCAGTTTGTGATTTTGTGGTTGCGAAATGTGATGAAGTGTTTTCGGGAGTTTCGTTATTGTCGACGTGGTAATTAATACGCGAGATGACGTTCGGTGTTATTGTCTTTTCCGGGTAAATTGGGCTTTTTAATTTTTAAAATCGGGAGTGCGGTGCGAAGTAGTTTAATTAGTGGATTTCGGGATGTAATTAGTGTTTGTGAGAAGTGCCGAGGAATCAGGGGGAGAGAATTTCCAGATCATCGAGGAATTTCGGGGTTGATGGAGACATCCCGAGCTGCAGGTGGACTTCACGACTCGGTAAGTCATCAATTATGGGGAATATATTGTTATTTGATTAGTTTTTATTACTCCGTTCGAGGAATTTGGAGACGAGAGGGCGTCTGTTGTGTTACAAGAGAAAAATTAATTCAACAGAGCTCTGTGATAGGTACAAAATCGACAGTCGATTATGAAATTCTCTGTCTCTAAAAAATTGGATCAATTGAGCCGACAATTATTCGCTGAAAATCCCTTTGTTCAATCATAAATTAACTAATTAATGATTCGTTTCATTGAATAATAAAAAAATCTGTCAATTGAATTTTTTAATTCAAAATATTGAAGTTACAAATCTAGTAAGATGATTAATTCATATGACGTTTAAATTAATTTGAGCCAAAGAGACTCGAAGAATGACTTAATTACCATTTCATTGAATACAATTTCCGATTTTTCGAGAAAAAAAAACATTGAAAATAAATCCCTCATCTGATTTTCAATAAACTTCAGGATAATTCATTCAATTCTTAATTAATTATTCGTTCAGTTGAATAATTAAAAAATCAGTCAATTAGATTTTTAAACTCACAATATTTTAGTTACTAATCTAGTAAAATGACTAATTAATATGAAATTCAAATTAATTAGAGCTGAAGAGCCTTGAAGAATGATTTAATTACCATCTCACTGGGTCCAAATCCACGTCCGATGATTCGAAAAAAAAGATTGAAAAAAAAATCCCTCTGATTACTCTCGTCTGCAAAACCTTGCTCTTTTACGCAATTTTACCGTTTTATTAAAGTTTGCTCGCAAATGAAACGAAACCCATATAACCTACCTAATTTAGCGAGTAGCATTTTCGAGTGGGTACCACTCCAAGAGGAGTAGTAGGGCAGGGTTCTATTGACAGCGGTTATTGCCTAACTGCGTACCTCAACCTAATATGCGCCCTCTTCGTACCCCCTCCCCCCCCCAATGCTACTGGCTTTCACCACTGCCTCTATCCCACGTAGACGGGGGTGAATCCCGGGTATATCTGTCTATGCGAAATAGGGGTGAGGATTTTTACCAGCTTGTAGCTAAATTCAACAGTGGCATAATTACCTCTGCGATGGTTTGATCAAATTTAGGTGTAATAGATCATTTCAGTGAACTCATGATTATTGAGTTGGGGGAAAAAGTTGGAAAAATCACCGAACAAGTCAAGTAATCGCGTTGTCGACTTAATTTTCAGTACTTTTTCATCATTTATCGGACGAATGGAGCTAATTCCCATAATTGTGGGCTGGATATTAATTATATTTTTTTTTCGAAAATCATCATCTTTGGACATATATTTATCGGAATATTTATGTGAAAAAAATCATGAAATTTTAAGTTTCAATGAAAATTCAGTAAAATTCCAGAATTTTTTGGTTTTCTATTCATTTTCAGGGAAAAATGGAACGGAAATTAACACTTCTGTTTGATTTTTCCACGAAATTCTGAATTTTCAATGACAAGATTTCCTGAAATTTCAGTGGAACTTGAACATGATAAAAATTAATGGAATTTGGCACGGAAAATTCAGGCGAAAAATGTTAACAGTGCAGGGCAATGAAAATGCTATTCAACCGTGGAATTCAGTAAAAAAAAATTTCACAAACTCCAATAAATTCGTATTTACCCCAAACTTGTTTACACAATCTGGCGGCATTACCCCCGACATTGACATCCAGTAAGTGACATTAAAATTACATGTTACCCAGGGGCCAAACTTGTTGCAAACCATTTATAGAATAATCAGAATGTGGAATGGCCCATTGAACGATCGGGTTTATAGAACCCGTCTCCGAAGGTAGAGGCAGAGGATGTAGTCAAACTAGAGTGAAACAGTAACACGATGGGAGGAAGGGAGATGGATTGATAGGTATGCCAGTGCAGAGGTCCTACCGTGGCAGTTTCAAACGTTGATGTGTTAATATTGGTAGAGCTAATTTGATGGTTTAATCAATTTCCGTGGGTTGACGGGAGTTTAATAGTGATGTCATCATTTTCACCAGCAATACAATAGGGTTTAATCTACGTCCAAAACTACCGTCAGCCAATATAACCACAATCAAACTAAGTTTTAAATGAAATCATACAGTTAATCACGTTTCAATCTTGTTGGAATGCGAGATCTTGTTTTCTAGGAATTTATCGGAGAAAAATATTTGTGCTTCCATTTTAACATTCAGCAAACAAATTAAAAAATTTTCTTTTGAAGGAAGATTGATGAAATAATTGAAAAATTGCAATTTTTTAAAATTACGAGCATTTTAAATAAATTATTTATAAACAGTCGATTTCACGCCTAAGAAAATTATGGTTTAGAAAGTTTAAACAATTTCAATTATTTATTTATGAATAGGGAATGTTAAAAAAAAATTCTGTGCAAAATGTCATTTGAATGTCGATTGAATGTTCCCCATTACGGGCGATTTTTTCATTCATATGACGATAATTGGACTAAATATGTCGTAATCAGGGGACTTGATGATTTGATTAGTTAAACTTTGGAGGTCTGAATTTAAATGTCCATATCGAACCGTTAGAAAACATTTTAAAAATCTAAAAAAAATGAAACGTTTACTTATGAAGGAAGATTGATAAAATAATTAAAAAATTGCAATTTTTGGAAATTACGAA